AAAAAAGCACATTTTTGGCTAAAGAAACCAAAAAACCTCAAAGGAATTAGGATACTCTTATATTACAATATGTTTATTATAGAATAATCGAATTTTATTGGAGATTAAATATCACAACACCATCTACTATTACAAGAGTTAATAAAACCTTAAAGTTCAGTCAAGAATAGAACTCAGATATATGGCCTAATAGTATTTCGTAATTAGTTATTCTAATCAATAAGGGGGATGTTGGAAGTGCAGTCTAGACTCATATAAGATCATATAATATAATTTATATGATATTGTTTATATATACATATCTCACACATTTATATATATATCTAATCCTATTAGAATATCTTTAAGGATATATACATACAATATTACTACTGTTATACCTATTATGATCTTGGTGATATTCCAACAATAATACTATAGATTATTTTATTTAAAGTCTCGAAATTGTATAATATACTCGTAGTCTTATTGCGAAGTATTTGAATATAGTCACGTGATCATACACGGCATATCGTAGTATAGGCCTTCCCGCTTTTAAGTGGGAATAGCCTTATATAACAATAATAAGATATATTTGAACTATGTAATATAGCAAGATAATGCTAGCACCTTTATAGTGGATATCCATATTTGTTTTCTTTACCACCGTTTTATTCAGAATACAAAATAGAGTCGAGCAAATCACAAAGCACATTTTTTTATCTTAGTATTGCTATGATTGCTCACGTTTTCTCCAAAGATATTCATTAGAGAGACAACTCGAAAAAGAGGGTAAGTATCAACTTGAAGGGATACAATCCTGATCACCCGGCTCCGTCCTATTCACTACTACTACTACTATTAGTAGTAGTTACTATTACTGTTACTGTATTATTATTAATAATAATTAAATTTTAATAATCGCAACGGGTACCCGCGGGGCGGGTTATTGATCTGGTGGGTAACCCACAGGTTACCCGCCAGCGGCGGCGGAGCGGGTTATCAATAGAAAATCTGAATGCGTATTCACGAGTTGTATTCATTATATAGATTAACGGATTATCTACTAATTTGTACAAATAATCTACCAATCCACAGATAACCTATCAATCTATCGATAATCCACGGAATAGGTTATTTCAGAATCCCAATAGATATCTGTTGGTATCAACGGGAACACCTTTCAGGTCTACGATGGTAGATAGCCCGACGAGTGTTCAGTGTTGATAATGTTGCAGTTGTTCTTGAAAGCTATTCTATATAGTGGAGACTTATATGCGTATTGAGGCCCTTGCACTAGTGCTTGCCCTAGCCCTTCGCTAGTACGGCGCCGGTGCCGGTGCTTCGGTACGGTAGATGACTATACCGACAATATCTATAGGTAATCAAAGATCTTTAACAGGTTATCTTGCCAGTGGGTTACGGGTTATTTTTGCGCAGCCTTCAGATTCAGAATCAGAATCAGAATCAGAATCCAGGACCAGGAACAAGACCACTAGCACTAATTTGACTTAGAGCTACAAGAAAAAAGGAAACTCTGCTTCCTTTCTTTCTTCTCCTTATCAATAACTCTATTTATCAAAATCAACTTGTTACTTTAGTTTCCACTTGAACTCATTTACAGTAACAGCTTTAATTTAGTAAGCTATTCGAGCTTAAAAGCGTTCAGACTTCTATAGCTAAGTTTGATATGATCAGATCATTCTATTCAAATCAACTTATCGGTTTCTCTATATCGTAATCATTAGCCTCTATATATATTAGACGATAGTGTCTCTATCTCTTTTGTAAATCTAGAACTTAAAAATAATCTAATCGGAGATTTTAGATTATCTAGTCTTAGATAGCTATATAAAATTGGTATAATAAGAAGATTATTATCTAATAAGATCTAATACCTAGATTATAAATCTTCAAATCAGTTCCTGAAGACTTTATTTATCGTATAGAGATATCGGATAATAGTATCTCTATTATTATTTCTAGTCTAGAGCTATAGAAAACTCTAGTTCTAGGCTTTAGACAATATACTCTTAGATATATATCTATAGTTTCTATATTCAAAAGAGTATCGTCGATAGTCATCAATTCTCTCATTATTTTGTTCAAATGAAAATTCTGAAATTTCGTTTATTATTCAAAAATATTAGACGATAGTATATTCATTCTCTTCTTCTATTTAGATTATCAAAGTACTATCATCTCAAGCGTTAAACGATTTAGATTGAGATATCTATACTCAGTTTCAAGTATTTAAACTTACTATCTGATCATATCGAATAATAGCTAGTTTATTCTCTTCGTTAATATAGAGTGTTAGAGTATTCTAATTCTAAGTTTCAGACGTTATAGTTGAAGATTTCTATATCTAGTTCTTAGATTAGAGAGATTATGCGAAGATATCGAATAATAGTTCATTTATTCTCGTCTTTAGTTTAGAGTATTTGAATACTCTTATCTCAAGTTTCGGATTAAATAATCTTAATTATCTATATCTAGTTTTTATTAATATAAAAGCTATCTAATAATTACGAACAATAGTTTAGTTACTAATTTTCTTGATTTAAATTTCAAAATATTATAATCCTAATGAATTATTAATAGTTAAGTCATCATTCTTTCTAGATTGAATATTAAAGTATTCCGATTCTATATATAGAATATCTTGTCTAAAATATCTATATCTAGGTCTTATAATCAAGATACTATCGTCTGATCTTTAAATCTGAGGTCAATTTCTCTAAGTCAACTTTTAAGGCTTCATTTGGTACTCAAATTTGACCAACTAAATGTCTAATTAGGGCTCACCGGGGGTCAAAAAACCTTCATTTTCATGATGAAGGGGGCATTTTCTCTTCATTTTGATGAAATGAAAGCTATTTCTATATGAAATAAAGCAAACTCTACCCAAGTAATTGAGCAATTAGGGGGTCACGGAGACACTGTGAGCCCGGTGAGCCCCTGAAATATGGTACTTGGACTAGAAAATCGGTAATATGAGCAGTTTAGGTCTATAAATATACATCTTGCAGTCAACTTTCGACAATATCACATGTAGAATGTATTCAAAGAAAGTAAATCATATGCGTTAAGTCATGAGGGAGCTATCTAGTTAACTTCTGTAAAATCCCGCGCAATCCCCTTCAATCTTTCGAAATAGCTCTGAAAACACCTAATTGAGCGCCCAACGCCCTGAAAACTACCATAATGACCTATTTTTAACTTTAAAAAGCGCTAATCCTCCTGAACTATCCTGTAACATCGTAAAATTCCCTTAGTGCTCCTCATTATCTTCATCCTCATCCAATTGAACCCAATTCCGACCTTGATTTTGGCGGAGACGTGGCTTATTATGGGGAGTAATGATTGGCGCGAGACGAGGTCCTTGAAACGCATAGGATTGATGCTCATAAGGGTATTGATACATCAAGCCACGGCGAGCTTCAGTAGAGCCCTGATGTCTAGCTACCGGGGTACCATGTAGGGAATGCATTTCTTGCTCGCGAAACATGGTCATGGTGTGAGCAGCATCTAGCTCCATTCGAGGCCTAGGAGCTGGCCCTCTGCGGCGAGACTCATGCTCAGATTGCTGTACAAATAGGCTAGATCCATCATCTTCTGGGGTTGGCTCTCTGATGATGATATGTTGACGTTGAGGGCGATTCAAGGCTTGGTTGAAGGCTGCCGGAGCAATTGAATCTCGTCGAAGCTGGCGTTCACAAGGGAAGTGGCGTATTTGACGCTGCTCAGGGTCCTCAGGAAGGCTTTCCTGGTGATATAATGCCGCACCCTCAGCATGGGTTAGATAAGGCGTGTCAGAGGCTCCATATGGGTTATAAAGACCGCTTGATGGTGGACCAGAGGTCATTGAAGGGCCAAAATAACGCCCTGGAGCCGTATTTGGGCTTTGAAAGCCTGTGAAAGAACTCTCAGGCACAGAATAGTCACCCATTTGAGGATGATTGGAGGTATAGCGTGGCAATTCCGTACTGTACGGTCCAGAAATAGCGTTGTTTTGTGGCCCTGTAGGAAAATTTGAGCGGCGATTAGACATTTGGGGAGGCAATGACGGAGGTGGGGTCGCTCTAGATCTTCGCTTATTAGCCTTTCTGGCACGGGAGCGTGGTTCTCTACCAGTACTACCAGAATGACCACGAGCACTGGCAATTGCGATCTTGAGGCGAACCTCACCCCAATCCTTCTTTACAGTCTGGTGCCAATGCTCATAGAGCATGTTTCCTGTGTACTCTCTGCGGAAGATACCTCTCTCTTTCATAGCACCCTGCATCATAACTGCAAGATCTGCCCATGACATGCCTATGCTGGGATCGTACGTTCCATTCAGCCCATTAAACCTCGACTTTCTCATGACCACATGGACGAAATAGTGTTGCTCCTCTGCGGACCAAAACTTGCCACCCATCTTGTGCTATTGTCGATATAGTCGAAGATAGGTGTTGTAAAGCGTGATCTGAGGATAGCCGAGCCTTGCTGTAGAGCTGAGAGCTGTATTCGTGGTTAAGGTAGATTTGGTGTGAGTAGCGTTGCTTAGAGCCGCAGTGAGGTACGAAGCTGTTTAAATATCAAATAGCTATCCCAATATCAGCAAGCTTGGTCACAAAATGGCCTAGGGAGGCTTCAAAATTAATTGTACCTTATAATTCCGTGAAGAATCAGCTATCACAAGTTCTTCAGGGAGCCGAGATTGAGACCCTTTTGGTGCTAGAAGCCTCAAAATCGATTAAAACTCGACGAATTGTTGAGGTATGGCGGATTGAGGTACGAAGATAGAAGGTAATCCGTCTAATTATTGTATCAAAAGGATGTTATCGTAGAAGAAGAAGTACTGTATGCGGTTTGTGGTATGGAATCATCTGTTTTCGTGGGGAAGATTGATTAGCAGGAGGCTTAAAGTGACCCAAAGTCGGGCTTTGTGGATACTAAAGGAATAAACAGTACTTACGAGGCTTATAAAAGGCTCTATTGTGATGGCGAGTTCTTGGATAGATACTAAGAAGACAGCAAACCGCCCACGGGTCTCAGAGTAGCTTTAAACGTCGATATTGTCGCAGATTATGGTCGAAGATCGCTCAAAATTTGGTCAAAAGCAGAGTAAACTCGAGATCTTTTAACTGTTGGAGGTAATAAGAGTGACAAGAAGGCTCAAAGAAGGTTACAATGTGATGGAAGCTTCTGACTTAGATAGTAAAAAGATACACCATCGTCCAGGAAGCAGTTCGAGCGGTGTTGTGGTGTTTATTTAGAAGTAAATGTGATCGCAAACGACAAGAAGCCTTTTGTCTCGAAGGCTGTCTTCAGAATTTCAAACTAACCGAGATGATGAGAACCTTGATGGTGGGTCTAGTGTATTGTTGAGTCGTCAATGGGAGAAAAACGTGGTTTTTGACGTCCGAAAAGGGAATGGTTGAGGAGTATTCGTCAAAATCGGGGAGAGAATGATCAAAAGACGGCTCGGCAGCCCGGACTTAAGTGAAATATGGCCGTATATCGAAGGTAAAATGGGTCTAAAGATCGGAAGAAGTGGTGTTAGCAAGATAGAGTCGGTATACCGAAGGTGAACGATCAAGAAACGGATTGAAGAGGGGGTGTGGACGAAATTCCGTACATTTTCTACCATAAAGTTCGAATACAAGCAGTTCCAAAGATAATTTCGATGTCAAAGCTGTCTATACTGGTATAGATTCAACTAAAACCTGTTTTTGAGTTGAATTAGACCACAATAGTTCGAATCTTCGAGGAAAATCGCTCGTTGAGGAGGTTGAAATGATCTATATTCGTTGCTATTGTGTCAAAATATGAAGTAAATCGATCTCAGGAAGCTGTCTAAGGCTAATGCACCATCAAAAAGCGTTGGATAAATGCCAGAGATGTCACAAATGGGTTGTAATGAAATAGTTCGAAGGATGATGGGCCAAAACATGGGAAGAAAGCATGGTACGATGCATATAAAGGAGTCAGGGGTAAGTAATGAAGTCGCATGTTATGTTAGAAGTGAATCAAACACTCTCATGAGTCACGGCAGGTTAGGATTATTAGACGACTTCTTGGACCGTAAAGAATGAGAGAAGGGGCTTCTCTAGTATCAGTATTGCAGACCAAGAGCCTCTGATCAACGCCTCGTGGAGCAGAATCTCCTGATTTTATAGAGCATTAAGCCCAAAACGAACAAGCGAATACATGAGAGTGCCCTTTCCCCCCCCGAGAGGTAAATATTGCCGTGGAAGGGCTAAAGTTTCTGGATAGTAGTACGAGAAGTCAATTCAAAGTTACCGTAGCATTGTAGTCAAAATAAATCACCAGCAGTAGCTCAAACCTTGATTAGTGATTCCAATTGACTACCTAAGACCTGAAGCGAGCGTGAAGCAACACGAGTTACAATCGGCGGACCACAAGATTGTACTCAAAGGGCAGGGCATACAGGATAACGTGGATATGTACGGCCTTGAGCGAGGGGCTTGGTGGTTGCAGGAGCAGGAGCTTCAAAGGACCGACAAGCTTGTGTAGATTCAGAAATAACCTTACCGATACAATAGAGGATAGATTGTACAGTACAGCCATTAAACACCCATATAAGAACCAAGGTAGAGGCGAAGAAGCATACTTCGCAGGGTACATTCTATACTGGCAGGGTCTGATAAGAAGTATACAAAGCAAGATCATCACTAGGTCTATCTATACATAGGGAGCTCGGAGGATGCGACAGCTACATTACTTGTATCGATAGTCAAGGTCAAGCAGGCAGAGAGTTACGAGACTTGCGCTTGTGGTGGATGACGACGATTAGACTAAGAATAAGGACAGGGTATCAAGATTGTAGAATAAAGATCATCAAGTCCAAGACAATGACCATTTGCAAAGGTTGCGCCGGTAGTATAATGTAAGAGTTCATGTTTACGCAGATTGAAGTGTGTATTCTGGCAGCTAGCTACTGAGGGAGGGAAGAGAATAAAGGCATGACTGTTGAACAAATTTTCTAGAGAGCAGGTTGACAAGTATAAGGGTAAAGGATGGGCGAGGCGACGATGAGCATACAAGTGATTCGCAATGGTAAAAGGAGATATGAGTGTTATTAGTAGGCGACGAGGTATAGTCGACGCCGATCGCAGATCGGGAACGGTGGAGGTAGTGGTGTAAAGGAGTATCATGAAGGGGGTTGTGTGAGAGTCGAATCGATAAGCCTGGTTGCTGGGTTGGTGCGATGGGATGGGAAGGTTGTGGACAATTACTGATACGAGGGGAAAAGATTCGCGGAATCATGTAGTTGGGTGAGATAGGGCTTGAAGGTATTAGTTATTTGTAGTGCTTTCGATGAGGTGCTTGAAGGGCTGGTAAGAACTAGAACATGAGTCTTTGTTAGCTTTGGCTCTAGAAAGAAGGGAAGGAAAGGAAAGGAAAGGAAAGGAAATGGGAATTTCGAAAATTGTAGGAGTAATACAATGCTTGCAGATGGCAGGAGCTTAGTTGGTTGTATAGATCTTTGGAGATAGGAGAGGCAGAAGAGATCCTATATTTGTTGCTGCTATTGCTGAAGAGGATTACTCTAGGGATTGCATCAACTGCTGAAATAATCTGGGTGGTGAGACTCTGGGATGGTAAAATGGTTGGTGGGTTGTGCCAGTACTCTGAGGATAGAGAAGAGAGGATAGAAATATGAATGGATGGTTGCCGGACTTGTTGTGTACAGGAACACATACAAAAAGATCATTGAGTCATTTACAGAGCTTTTAATCTTTGTCTGGAATTTTTTTCAGGTTGTTGCTGTTATATCGAAATCCAAGCTTCTCCATGAAAGCTAAGAACACCCAAAATTCTCAAAGCTTGATATCATACGATATTTTCCTGTGGACTATTTACATTCCAGGCTGTTTACATTGGGTTTGACAAAGTTACATGCTTAGGCATAAAAACTGATACCAATAACTCTTCAAAGGGTTGACCAGAGTCAAAGACTTTGTCTGCCCAGGTAAGATCAAAATCCAACATCAATGAATTCTTGAGCATATAATCCAAAAGGGGTACATAAGTTTGAGAGTGGGCATTTACTAACAGGCCACAGTCACTTGCATAGGGACACCATCAAAGAACGACAGCAAGGAGCAAATATAACGATATGAGCAGACATTATGATGGCCCAGTCATTGCTATGGCAAGACTCGATGAACCAGCAGATTCGATCATGCATTGCATTCACTCAACTCTAAAATGTGACAAAACTTTGAATGTTCAAGGCTCGCATCAGTTCATTGCAATTAAACTTCGGTGTACAAGTAAAAAAACCCAGGCGCAAAAACTGCAAATTATAAACCAACATAAGTGGCAGAATTCAGAAAGCTTCCCGATTCAATAACCCCAAAGCTCGGTTTCCACGCGAAGCGACTTGCGACACTCTGTGCACAAAGACTTGATTACTCTAGTCATTGCCCTCAACGACTGCGAAACGAGGAGACCTCCGAATGATACAAAGGGGGTTCAGGTGGTGTGCGGAGACTGGGCCTCCTATGATCGACGCCGGGCGGCGATAATCGGGTCGACTGAAACTCGAAGTTGCATACTAGGTTATAGGTCACACAGCTTCAGCGTATCCCGTCGTGGTCCAACGATTCGGCCTGGTCAATCGAATGCTTCTTTCTTCTTTTAGCCCCCGCTGTATCACGGAGCGTCAAATAATTACATGGGAATGGCATGCGGTTAACTCTATGGGACGTTCAGTTCCTTGACTGAAGACAGTCTCGCATGAGACGGGAATTCATCATATTCACATCGTTGCTTAATGGCAGCGATGGGGCATCTTATAAAGTTTTCATTAGATCATTGACGGCTTTCGCAGCAAACCTCTTCCTCTCAGCTTCGGGCAAGTCCGAACCCATGTCTGATTATGTTAGTGTGGAAATTCTCCCATTGAGTACAACTCTCTCACCTTTGACCGCTTGCATCTTCAACATCAAAGCTTCAAGCTGATCTACTCCATCCTCGTTCTCAACTTCCTCATTGGCGCTCGTCTTTCCGGTAGACTCGCCATGAATTGCCTGTTTCATACCAAACATCTCCATTTCCATCTCAGCAGCTTCGATGCTAAAGCCCATGCTTTTGTCCTCATCGCCGTCATCCTCGAGGTCTCCCGGATCAAAGCCTTCTCCGTCGTCATCGCCGCGTTCCCATTCATTGGCTTCTAAAGCTTCCTTCAACCTGTCGAGACCCATAGGTTCTGCATGTGTCAATCATAATGCATACTAATTTTGCTGGAGAGATGGATTACCTGAGTACTCATTTCGACCCTTGCTTTCAAAGTCAACAAATTCAAAACAATGCTCCTGACACAAGTCCTCCCACTCTTCGAAGCTCTTTTCTAGGTACGGAGTCGTAGACTGTGGCATCGCCACAGCTAAACAAACACCTTCCCAAGCATAGCCACAACCTTCATTGACAACCTCGGCCACAGTTTCCAGAAGAGTCTTGAAAGCTTGCAGCTCAGTTTCATCAACGGGCTTTCGGAAACATACAATAAAGGCGCCAAGTACTGTCAAAACTTCTCGAGCTTCTGGTGCCAAAAATTCCTTCGACCAGGTCTCAGGCTCAATGATTTCATCAATCCATATTGGAACGTTTGCAGTGTAGTAGTTGGTTTTGATAGACCAGTCATGAGTAGTACCTGCAATTGAATCCCCCGTGAGAGCAGGCGCAGAACCTGTGAGACCTACAAACAAAGTCAATATCAAGATTTATGTATACAAGCATAAGTGGTGTTTTAACCCTTCAGCAAGTCAACGAGACTAGAATCAGGTCTGCTGACAGCTAGAATACGCCGTGGATGTGAGATTTCCATTGTCATATTGATGGTACATGTAATGTCAAGAAACAAACAAGCAAAAACTGTGTTACAGAAAGGTAAGTTCACTTTGTCTTGGAACATGCAAGATTTGATGTTCATATCGGAAGTATCTTTGCCCGAGCCCGAAGTTTGGAATTATCTCATTGGTTCGGTTCCTTTGTCAACAGTGTATTAATAATCATTAGGCAGTGGTGGGCATAGAAAAGGTAAAGTAGTTATCTTTGGTCACTGGGAGGATGTTTATGTGCTCCTCATTGTTCTGCTCTATCTCAATTGCCAGCAAGGAAAATTCCCCTCCCCAGGTTTCCTTATGCACTGGGTCATCCTCCAGACTCGGGCCTGTGAAACTCTCTCCTCCCTGGACTGGCTTCGCAATGGATCATAAGTTCCCCCTCAAACGCCGACATTTGAAAAAATATTCTTCATCCACATGTCATATGAGAATCTCAACCTCTTGGTGCTCCTCGTCCGCTTGCCCTCGCCCTGCTAACTGTAGCCCTTCCTCTTGCCAATCCTACACCTCTGCCCCTGGTATTTCTACTCTTGAACATAGGCGCATTCCTGTTGTAATTGACATCAGCCTTACGCACAATGGTACCCATATCCCCAAGTATCTGCACATCCACTCCGGCATAGTGATCTCGGCTTGACTAACCTCAGCATATCTGGGACAATAAAAAATCTCACGTGTGAGCCTCGAATGTAGACTTGATCTAAATGACTGACACGGCCGTCGCGGGCGGTAACCGTGATATCTTTGAGTTGAATGTTCATGTTGTCTTCCGCTATAATGATATCGAATCAGCACCTTCCTTACTTGCGCGAAAGAAGTGGTTGTAGTATTAATGGATAGTCGTACCTTCCAGAAGCTTGCCACGGTAGACCTGTCCAGTTGTGATCTCGAGAGTGACAACATGACCCTAATCAATCATAACTGTCAGCAGCGATCATGGCGGAGGTTAAACTTGAGCGTTGACTAATATAGGGAAAGAATGCACGAACTTGGGCCTCATTCAAGAGCTTAATTGGTATTCCGATTGTGCTTGTCATGGTGAACGAGGATTTTAAGTGGCACAATGTATGTATTAAAAGAAGGATATGGGTCTGCGAAAGAGTTGTCGAAGGCTGGTGTTCGTGAGTGTCAGTGTCTGAGTGAAGCTTTGGCTCTATCAGAATAATTTGGCGCTAGTGATCTAGAAGCTTTCGGCAAATCCCGTCCACCCACTCAAGCACTTCCTCCCCCTCAAAAATATTGTTCCGATCCGAACATCACAATGGTTTAATGAAGAGCTACATCTACATCAATGGATATGAACACTCTCAACATATCAGCAACGGTGAATCTATTCCGTCTTCTTGCAAGACCGACGCTGGTTTTACCTCAAGCAACGGTTTCCACTTTTAACCACCTACCGATACCTCTCAACTCAGCCTTTGGGAGATATAAAAATGTTGATATTAGGGCTGTAGTGTTGGACAAAGATAATTGTTTCGCATATCCTAAGTCCAATGATATACACGAGCCTTACAATGTAAGTATTTTTGCAGATTTATGCTTGCTGTGACGTCTTTAAGTTCGCCATCTATACTCGTACGGAGCAGCGTGCTTTACCCCGCATCATGATATCTACCTCTTTCATCAAATTTGATTTGTCTGCTATTCTTTCCATTCTTCGGCCGAAATACAACATGAAATATCCGTCTGATGTTGATGTTAACCTTAATTAGGACAATTTCAAAAGGCTTCGGGAAGCTTATCCAGGCCGGCGGCTTCTGATCGTTTCTAATACAGCCGGTGCTAAATCCTTAGATCGTTCTGGTAAGCTTGCTGCTGAAGTTGAGAAGTCTACAGGCGTTACAGTCTTACCTCACGCTTCTAAGAAGCCCGGCTGCGGTCCTGATATCATGGAATACTTCTCAAAATATCCCGAGACCGGAGTCACAAGACCCGATCAAATAGCAGTTGTCGGTGATAGACTGACCACTGATGTCATGATGGCAAATCTGATGGGCAGTTATTCCGTATGGATCAAAGACGGAGTTGTCCCGGCGGATGAAACGAGTGTGGTAAGTACCATAAGCATCATTCCGAGCTCGACCTGATGAGTGTTCCTAGTTTGCAAGGTTAGAGCAAAAGTTCGCTGGATTTCTGGTTCGACGCGGTTACGAGGCGCCAGAACTAGCAAGTCTGTACGAGAAGTAGACTTACATCGTTACTCTTTTTTTCCAAACAACGCCATATTATTTGATCATACCAATACTCATGCCTTGCTATACCTCAATCTTTTCTTTTTCACAATCAAATGCGCGCAAACCACCACAATAGTACATCATGTTGTATTCAAGCTACTCTCACATGGAAAGCGAAGGAAAGCGTGTGATGACTTTTCAAGGCGTATCAAGCTCCCTTCACGTTAGGGTAACGAGGAAAACACCACGGCCAGCATTCGTGATAGCTATGGGACAGAGAAGGACTCACTTGTGGTTTTTTCCTGCCGATGAGACACGTAGTTCATTCGACGAACAAAGGCAGCTTAAGTGCGCGTTATTTACAAGAATGATAGACCGCACACGAAATCAAATTTGTCGCAAAGCATACTGCGGGCACAACATTTCTCCTGTTTTTTAGAGTTCACTTTTGGTGCTCTACCTCCCATATTTTTCATCTTCGTGTCCTTGGTATTCCGAGAATTCCTTGGGGTTTGAACAGTGTTGGTACGGTCTAGAATATACCAATATCTCTAACAGACGCTAGGTTTCACCGCGGGTTTTATACATGAAGCGAGAATTATAGTGACGTAAAGGGCTGGACTCTGGCTACCTAGGAATTCATACGCCTCAATACTATGGGCCTTTTCCTGTTCCCGTGAGTCCCAGAGCACAGGAAACCTTTGATACCGTTTGGCGAATTCGACTCTGTTATTATGTTAAAGTTATTTGATATATTAGATCAAGTTGGCATGCATGATCTAATTGGTAAATTCAGCCCATTTGGAAGGCTTCTTTGGTGCAAAGGGTTGAATTTCCTTTGGGATATCAAGCCGATCCCAGAGTTTCATGGATTTTCGAACGCTGAAAGCTCTCTGAAAGCTCGTGACTTCGGACTAGAAGTCGGACTATGAGAAAGTCTGACTTATAATGTATCACCGCTGAGGGGAGGAAGATCTATCTGACGTAACGCTGGCCCACTGTTTTTGCCCCGGTTTCCTCCCCCTGTTGTTGTTTTTATGGACAGTTACACGCGCAAGTCACAAGCGAAGGAGAACTATCGCTAGAGAACGACGTGAAGCCAGAATACAAGTGCAGAAGCAGTTCCTGGCTAAGGACTTCATGGAGGACTTCGCGTGGCAGCTCTACACAGTAACTATGTTCCCAAACAGATTGAACTTCATTGTATATGCAATGTGTACCCCGTCGTTAGAACTTGGCCAAAGAAATAGCCCCACTGTCTCTTCTTGGTCAAAATTATCCGAGAACCCTAGACTTTTTTCGTCTCGATACAGAGTTTACCCCAAACGAGAAGTTAGTCTCGCTTTGTTTCCTATATTCGCAATCGAAGCAAGGCTGTCCGCATCGAAAACGTTATTACGGTAACGTTCGAGCCTCAACAAGCCCTTCTCGAAGTTTATGCGACTCCGGTGTGACGAATTAACAGTCGAGGCAGTAGATCTTGTGGGGAGGACAGTCTCATAACCTCCATTGGGAAAGTCAAGCGTAATACAGGGAGGACCATGCAACGATTGTCGTCTGAACTTGGCATGTAAGATAGGGAATCCCAGCTTACTTTCTGCTAGTGGTGTTATGCATCAAACAGGAACAAGAATATGACATAATATATTAACGACGGGTTGAGTTGCAGTGGCTATTTTTAGATCAACAAGTGTAAGCAGCTTAGCAGGTAAATATTATGGGGTCCAGAGATACTACCTAACAAACGAAATAGATGTCGCGATTATTCGGGATGCTCACATTTGGGATGGAAAGGGACGAACTAAGAATTAAGGAGGGCTGGTTCTACAACAAGCGTTGACAATTCGGAGGTTTGAGATCGGTTCGAGTGGCGTGGGCAAAACCAAGTCACAATTTATCAATCGTCAATATAGCCGTGCGGACCAGGATGTTTACGGCGAAATAGATGGCCGTGATGGCGTCGTCTTTGTAGGGGTCCTATGTAATATTATGGATGATGGGGTCGATCTTCTCGACTTCTTCAATTCTCCGTACGATTCGGTCTTGTCAAACGTGATATATCGAGTTCTGCTCACAATCACTTGTGACACAAGATCAACATCTGCTCTCGACTCTCGAGTAAATCGGAGAAACTACTGATTGGAGTGGAGCACGTGATTCGATCACCCCTGCTTCTGCTTTATGCTTATGCTTGTGCTGTGCGGTTTGACGTTTTAGGCTATTTTTCCGTGCGATAAAATAGGCTAATGTCTTCCAACCCCTTTATGTATCTTTTGGTGGGGGTGAAGATAGCATCTTTATCCAATCAAAGCTAGCGTCGCATCTTTCTTGTCTTCATAGACTTTCAGAGCTGTGCGGATTTTTCGATCGTAAACCAGCTTCCCTCTACTGACTGTCTTCAATCCTTTTGATTCAGTACGAGAAAGACTTGTTCCTGACCATTCCACTGATTCTAGGTCTATTCAACGGGGTTTCCGATTCAATAGTTCTATATTACCTCATCGTCAGGGGCGGCGATTGATAATGCGGCGTGTTCATCTAACAAACAGTTCTTGATAGATACCAAAATACCAAAACACGAGTGATGGAAGATGATTATTTGGGGAGGCGGTGAATTTCTATGGTTTGGCTCGTGTATTTATACGAACACTATTGCCACTCCCCTTAACCGGGCAGCGTTCCTGACTAGAACTCATGGCTGGCGGCTACTCTACTTTTGGTATGGTGCATAAGTATACAAAGGACGAACCACACGCCAGTCCCACACAATCGCCGAAGCCAATTGCTGCCGTGATGCAGGTACGTTTCGATCTAGGTACGGCTCGTAACTAAAACATCATTCTGGTGTAGACATGTCACCAGTCAAACACAATATTCGGAGCTAAACTTAAATCGAGTTTAATATCTAACTCGATGCCAACGCCATCATGGTTTTTCCCCGTCCCATCTTTTTTTATACATTTCGGCATTTGCGCTTGGTATTGGTTTCGTGACTTTTGTCAAGCGGTAAATCGTGGCTGAATACGTTTCTTCAGGGGTGATGACTATTTCACAATGGAACCAACCCTGAAAGGTTTCAGTAAAAAGAGGTACTGTAAAATCTTGGACTCGAAGACAAATCATTCTCCTTATCACACTGATTTATACAGCTCCAGTACAGTAAATCTACTTTGTTAAAAAGCTTATTCTTTCCAGCAATCTTTGTGTGTTTGCAACATTGTCACATCGATCATAACATTGACAGAAAATATGTGTACGGAGTACGGCGTTATACTTACAGCTTGCATGACTCGGTCGGTTGAGTGCATGTGTTGTTTACTTTTTACAAGTGATCGAGTAACGTGCAGCAAAAGTGCATGTCATGATTGGTACGGAAGAGATGCAAATGGACTCGGATGAAGAGGGTCGGTACCAGGAAGTCAGAAGACGGGTCCTCACCAAACAAATGGTAAGAGCAGTGTGTGACTCGATACCCAATTGGCAACTCCACTGAGATAATCCTTTCTTAAGGGATTATTCACCGTCCATACCGTATGTTCATTGTTCAAAGACAAAGACCGAAAGATTTCAGACAAAAAATGCGGCGGTTGCATTCGCAGCCAGCCACCAACGATGATTGGCACTGGTCCTGAAAGGTCCGGAATCTGCAACATAATTCAGGGGTATACCCACCCATATTTGAGGAGGAAGCGGAATAACCTAGGATGGGATGACGAGAGCCACTACACGACGATTGGGTGTGTGGACGGGTAGTGGTGGGTGCTTGATAATGGTGCAGCAGTGGCAGCAGCGGTGGTTGACTTTTATTTATTTCAGCAGCTATGCCGATGATGGCATGCGAGAATAATCTATATAGGTCATAAAATTTACATATATACGCATTTCTACTCGAGTACGGAGTATATATGGGTGCTAATAAATCTACATGGATTCTCTAACCCCCTTTTTGGGTCGTTGCCCTTCTAGGTTTTCCTCGCATGGGTGTAGCCTACGTGTTGTAGGTGTAGGTTGACTAATAAATAGCTGGGCCACGCACAGGCATCTTTGGGGGAATACAATGGTTTAGGGATCGAGTCCATCAACCCATCAACCATCAACCCTGAATAGAGAGAAACATTCAACCTCGTCTATTACTATTACTGTTTTGGTGTCCGTCTGATGTACTGTATGCTTTACATCGTGCGAAGATGTCAATGTATTGTATGTCTATCTGTAGTGAGCATTGGCGCATAGTATTGGATGATAGAGGAGAAAGTAATAGAAAGTACAGTAAGTGATCAATTCATTACTGGTACTGTATCTGTATAAACACCAACACAACCCCCTTTCTCCCCCACCCACTCACTGACTATGCCGATGGACCACAGTACATGGGATACCTATGAACTTGCATTTAGGGAGGTTGTAGGCCTAGTTGGAGCACCGGTAGAGTAAAGAGAAAACAGTGAATAAGAGCATACAGCATACTCGAATTAGTGCGTGACTGATTTTAATTAACTAATTAGACCTTTTCCAATCACTCTTTCTTTTCCCCTCTTCTTACAGTGCCAGTGATAGTAATTCACTTGTCAAAGACTACTACTATCACAGGTTTGCCCGTTGCCCGTTACTTACTACCGGTATAGAGAGTACTTACTTGTCTTGTCTTGTCTTGTCTTATCTAGGTGCTATGTGCTTGGTGCTTGGTGCTTGGTGCTTGGTAAAGTTGTACTTACTGTTTACGAGTTTTGCTGGCCGCGGCTTGCTTCAAAAATTCACTTATGGGTTGGGTGGGTGTACAACTGTACCTGTATGGATTAGTGGATGGTTTCAGGGATTAACTTTTATTTTAGTGTATCTTAATTGGTCTAAAATCGGTTTTAGCCACTAATAATTGACCTTAACACACGCTAAAAAATGATTAAGTAAATTCTTCTATACTCACCCACAGATTCGCTCGCCTTTTTCCCCTTGGTTTAGTCGGTCGGTCTCTCTCTCTCTCTTATTCCCTCCCTCCCCTCTCACACTATCGTGGAACTTCTTTCTTTGACTTTGACAACTTCATCATCGCCTTTTCTATCCTATCCCCCTCGTGCTTTTCTTCCCCTTTCCCTCTCCTCTCCTCTTGTCTTTCCTTTAATCGGATTCTTCGGATCCATTACACTCCTTCGCATTCTCAATATTCAAAATTTACATTACATTACATTACAATACAATACAATACAATACATTACATTACCTTCACCTTCACCTTGACCTTGACACCAATATCTAGCACAGAAAGAATAACGGTCGTTATCGACTTCAACGCTCCTTTTTTGGCTTCACCAAATCAGTCTTTACATTCAACCAGAAAAAAAAGAGTCAACTCGACCCTTTGACATTCATTCTTCACAACTACAACGCTTCATTTACGAATCTTTTGAGAATCAAATCAAAATCTATACCTTTCTATTTTCCTGCAAGATTCAGCGAAGCATTTACTGTACTTTTTTGCCAGATCCTTTTTATTTATTCTCACTTAGCTTTCGACCCACACAAACCACCTGCGCATACAACGCACATAACATCTCGACGATCACTGAGACTCGTGCGACCACCGAGACAATCGCTTGTCATACTACATACAAAATATTGGGGGGAAGATACAACTATTAGCGACAAGACGAAAGTAATTGACTACGATCCCAAGAAATCAAGATGTCGGACATGTCGCAAGAAGATGCGGCCATCAAAATGCTTTCAACACCATCCCCTACCGCGTCGAACTCGGCTGGCAGCAGCTCGGCTTCTCGCAGACCTCCTCGCAAGAGCACATTGACTCAACAACAAAAGAATCAAAAGAGACAACGGGCTACTCAAGATCAATTGATTACTTTGGAGGTGGAATTCAACAAGAACCCAACACCTACAGCCACCGTTCGAGAGAGAATTGCGGATGACATTAACATGACTGAACGTTCCGTTCAAATTTGGTTTCAAAACAGGTCAGTTCACTTTGTTCACCAAATAAACATTGCGTAGTCTAATTTGTCTTTCGCAGACGTGCAAAGATTAAGCTCATGGCGAAAAAGAGTATCGAGACTGGAGAGAGTTGCGAAATTCCAGAAGCTATGCGCCAATACCTCGCGATTCAAGAAATGGAATCGGGAAAATCATTAGGCGGTAACTTCCTAGGTCGAGGTGGACTTATGCCTTATGGTAGTAGTAATATGCTTATGGGTGGAGATCACGGTCCTCAAGGAAAAGTTGGTGAGTACCACTCCGGATTCTCTTTGCGTTATAGATTTGTGCTGACATCAAATAGTCATTCATCACCTTTCCTGTCGATCGCTCAGCATTGGATCATGGAGACGCATTGGTCAAAATGCTATGGATTTGATCATCTTCTACTCCCCGGAGAAATCTACCATGACATACTACATTAACAATGACCAAGCCGGCTACAAGATTGAGTACTCATTCTCATCGATCAAGAATATCTACCTGGAAAATGGAGATAACGAGTCGCGGCCTGGTGGACTAGTCGTTGAGCTCATTCGTGCGCCAAACTTCTTCATGGACTCATCAGGATCTGGCGGATTTTACCAATGTGGTGATTTCACCGAGGATCAACAGGCGTCTCAAGTTATGGTTCATCATCTAGGTGGCCATCCTAAGGTTCTCAGTGGCCAATTAGCCAAGCTCGTCTCCCTGGAGTCTTTCATCTCACGCGATAGCCCATTCACACATCAACAGCCATTGTCTGTATCGGCACCTGTATCCCCAATTGGTCACCGCCCAGCATCTCAGCCAAACTTCAATGCGCAAGCCCACGTCGGTATGTTCCAAGAAACTCAATGGGGAATTGGTGTTCATCCAAGTGCGCGTGGACCTGGTCACAGAAGACAGAGAAGTCGTTCCGTCCCAATGGCTGTCGACTTCTCCATGTTCAATAACCCAATGCCATCATTCCTCATTCAGCACCCCGGTGAACCTCACCACCAACAGCATCATCCAAATCCCAACATTTTTGCACCTATTCCTCAACAACCAAACAACCTTGGACCTCTAGGCCCTAATCTACGAATTGATACCTCGTCAGGCTATGGAATGGATTTCAGACAGTACCCCATGTCTGCAGCTACGACTACTTCCCCATCCGATTATGCCAGCCCTGGTTTCTATCCTCATACAAACGATAATGGACCTATGACAGGACCAATGCCAACCTCGTCATCGATGCCGGCATCCAGCTTTACACCATACTCGATGCCTTATCTGTCGCCCGATCCTTCATCCCTTATTCCCCCGTCCGTTTCTCCCTTATCCTTTATGAGCCACGGGGACCCAGCAATCGTTGACCAGTCTCCGCCAATGTCAATGATGCACCGAAGCGCATCTGCCGATGTTTACAGTATGCATAATGAGTCAGCTATCTCTGATGATGGTACCGGACTCAACGAGATGTATCAGAAACACACTCTTAATATTCCTATGCACCCTCACTCCCCAGCTTTCGGTGACCAATCCGCGGCCGATATGGATATGAGCAATCTTGTTCAATTCCCAGTCGATCATGACGGTCTTTCACCCGAACATATGCCTCAGTAGATGGATACACTTTTGGAACTGCTTGAGAGCCCGAAAGGGCTTCTTGAGCCTTGTTGGAAACGATTTTGAAATTGCAGATATTGAGATGATTGATTTCTGTATTTCAGACACCATTTTTGCTTAGAGATTGTTGGGGAAATTTGCGGGTGGCGTGGCGTTGGTTGATTTTCATTGTGCACGGAAAGGGGGAGGTGTCAACGGCCGCCTTTTATCTTTCGTTTTTCATGTCGATTCTTCTCTCGACTTTGCACTTGCTTTATTGCACTGTGGTATAGTCTTGATTTCATATTCCCAAATTTTCTTTCAATTTTTACGCCACGACTTGCATGACGACTTACCCAATTTTATCATGCCTGTCAGGTACAGCGATCGTTTTTCTCATTGATATATTTGCTCTTGCGCATTCTGTCTCGAACTTGATGTCTGTTAATCAGCTTCATCTCACTGTTTTTATTATCTCCCTATGGAGAGATTCTTTTGGTGGTTGGATCGAAGATATAAATGGGCGGTGGAAAGCTTGGGGCGAAAGCGGGCAATTGAATGTGGAAACAACAACATGGTAGGGAGGGGTTGAACAATTTTTTGCTTGGTTTGCGGTTTGCTGGCTGGCGCAATGCGCAAGCAATGGGATGGATTGATGAATCATGGTATGGTGGTGGGCTTAATAGTGGAAATCTATTTTGTAAAATCGTTTGTTTGTTTGTTTTTGAGCTGTAATATTTAAATGTGCATATCTATAGGTAATTAATATTTATGGTGTTTTTTTACTCATTTTGTTTGGGGGATTGTGTTGAGTGTGAGATTTCTCTGGATATCCAATCCAGGTGATAGACTTCGAGATCAAGTAGAGATAGAGACTGATATGTTGGTAAAGACTACATGTACTCGAGTAATGGTTTTTAACTGCAAGTGAATACTGTAATTGTACTCGAGTACAGTAATTGTAATTGTAATGGTTAATACAATACTCCTCTTTGGTAATACTCGAGTAACCTACTAATCAACAATGACGTTATAGATTGGGGATTAGCCAGGTCATCCAGAGTTTAGACAAGACATTTTGGAAACATCAACGCAACAAAGGTACCACCAGTACTCGAATAGGAATTCAATCATTCAATAAATATATTTGTTTTTTCTTTTCTGCACATCAGATTGTGATATTTGACTTTCGTTTATCGTTATTACACAGATTACATGTTAATATACATTTTTTGATCCTTTCTATTTTTGGTAAGGTCACTGACGGTCACTCGTGGCTGGCTGCGAGAGGCGGAGCCCGCAACGACACGAAACGAATCAAAACGAAAAGGAAACGAAGGGCAGGGCAGGGCAGGGCGGCTGAGAAAATCAAGATCAAACCTCATACAGTATTGGTTTTGGTTTTGGTGTTGGTCACCTTATTGATGAAGGACGAAACGGATGTACAAGAGCCATAACCATGATAGACGATACTGGAGGAAGAAGAAGCACAAGTCTGTCGTCCTGCGATGAGATGGCATCTCCGTTGTCCGATTCGCACACCCCACCTTCTGCGATAGCGATGGAGAACCCCGCTCCTCCGATAAATAAAGAGAATCAGCGGGTCCGGTTTTCGGTCGATGTTGAGCGAGAAAAAGAGCGAGATCGAGAACGAGAACGGGGGGGGTTTGCTGAATCTTCTGGTCAAAGATCTGCGACTGCGACTACGATTCCGAGTTTGAGTATTGATACAGGGATTGCGCCGACGGAAGCGGTTGCGGATGGCAGATCACAGACGGCAGGTCAAAGGAGGAGGGTTCTGGGGGTGTCGCCAATTTCGCCGAGGACGAGGGATAGAGGATATTCGTTGAGACGGAATTTGTTTGCACGGGGGTTAAATAATGGATCGGAACAGGAGCACATTGAACTTGAGGAAGCAGGACCTCCGCAAGGTCGTGGGAAGAAGGCACAGAGTTCGGTGGTGGTATGTTCCGTACATGATCAGGTTGAAGAGGCACCCAGCGAGGGTGTCCAATCTACGAACTCGAGTAGAATATCTAAACGTAGGGATAAGAAGGCTTTTGAGACGAGAGACTTGCCCAATTATGATCGCTTTGTGCGCAAGGTGAAGGGGGACGGTTCCATTTTACAAAAAGCGAAGAAGAAATCACAATGGTTCTACAAGAAGAAAATATTGGAAGATGTTCTCCGGCAAAGAGAGATACCTTCTTCGAAAGATGGACGGCATATTGATCTGGATGCTACTCGCAAGCAGAGTACCCCGCTAATTGACGAGAGGACTGGGGTAGCATACATCAGCAATACGATACGCTCTAGTCGATATACCATATGGAATTTCGTACCTAGGCAACTGTTTTTCCAATTTTCAAAACTGGCCAATGCATACTTCCTGCTGGTTTCCATTCTACAAATGGTTCCTGGACTTTCACCTACGGGAAGCTATACCACAATTGCCCCGCTATTAGTGTTTGTGGTGATCAGTATGGCGAAAGAAGGGTATGATGACGTCCGTCGTTACAAATTGGATCAGGTCGAAAATAATAATCGAACGTCGGTCTTGCAAGCATATAAGCCTCTGAATATCCATGAGATATCCCACATTCGATCTAAAGACTTGCGATCAAAGAAGGTCAAGAAGGGCTTGGGCATCGATTCCCCTGAGACGGTACATGAAATTAATATTGAAGCAACAGCTTCAGGGCCAAAGCACTGGGCAACGTTGAAGTGGAAAAGTCTCAAAGTTGGTGATATTATAAAACTTCATCGAGATGAGGCAGTGCCGGCAGATATTCTCCTTCTGCATGCAGATGGACCGAACAACATCGCCTTTATCGAGACCATGGCACTAGATGGTGAGACAAATCTGAAGACGAAATCACCGCCCGTTCCTTTGGCCAAAAAATGCTCAACTGTGGAGAAATTGGTTGATTGTCGTGCTCATGTTGTAATCGAAGATCCTAATTTGGATCTATATAATTTTGACGGAAGAGTCACGATTAATGGCGAGACCCTGCCACTTACGACCAACGAGATTGTTTTTCGAGGAAGCATTTTGAGGAATACACCTAGTGCCATTGGTATGGTGCTCAACACGGGCGAAGAGTGTAAGATCAGAATGAACGCCAATAAAAACCCTCGAGCGAAAGCACCCGAGATGCAAAAGATTGCAAACAACATTGTCATTATTCTTGTTATCTTCGTCGTTATCCTCGCCCTATTCTGTACCATAGCTTACCAAGTATGGTCTGAAAACGTCGAGAATAACTCTTGGTATTTGGCAGGAGCACATTTTAAATTCAGCTTCTCAATTGTTGCCTTCATCATTCTCTTCAACACATTAATCCCACTCTCGCTCTATGTCAGTTTGGAGATCATCAAGGTTGGACAACTACTTCTCATGCACGATGTTGAGATGTACGATCCCGTATCGAACACTCCAATGGTTTCAAATACATCTACGATTCTCGAAAATTTAGGTCAGATCAGTTACGTATTTTCCGACAAGACGGGCACTTTGACCGATAATATTATGCGTTTTAGAAAGCTGAGTGTCGCTGGATATGCTTGGCTTCATGACTTTGACTTGGTTCGAGAAGCGGCTAAACAGCAGGAGCTAAATCCAGGCAAGGGGAACGAAGTGAAGTCAAATAACAAGGGCAAAGGAATCGTTCAACAATTTTCGAAGAAACAAGCACATAAACCTCGCCCAGAAGATGACGGACTACCCACCTCGACTACCGATGTTCCTAGGAGATCTGGCTCTCTGTGGAAGTCATCGGCACAACCTCATCGCGTTAAACTAGAATTCCGAACGGAGGAAATGATACGCTACATGCAGAGTAAGCCTCATAGTGTATTCACCAAGAAGGCGAAATTCTTTCTTTTGTCCATTGCACTTTGTCACACATGTCTTCCGGAAGTTCGAGAAAACGGGCAGATAGAATTTCAAGCTGCGTCTCCGGATGAGTTAGCTTTAGTGCAAGCTGCTCAAGAGCTTGGCTATTTGGTCATCGACAGACCTGCTCGTTCCATCACCTTGACCGTTACAAGCGAATCCGAGAATGTTACTGAGACCTATGAAATTCTTGATGTGATTGAGTTCTCGAGCAAACGGAAGCGGATGTCAATCATCGTCAGATTTCCAAATGGCAAAATTTGCATTTTCTGTAAAGGTGCAGATTCTTCTATTCTTCCACGCTTGAAACTTGCCCCATTAGCAATGCAGAAAGCCTCGGAAGTCCAGAGGCGATCAAGTACCAGGAAGAGTCTGGAGGCTGAGGAGGTACTACGGAGAATGAGCGAAAGTAGTCCAAGGACTAGCTTTAGTCGACCCAGTATGACTCTTCCCAGGTCAAGCATGAGTCGAAATCGGAGAAGTATTGGCGGCGGAAGGCCAAGTATGACTAGTACAAGATTGCAACCTATACGAGACGAGCTCGACTCTTGGTTGAGAGAAAGAGAGAGTGATATCGAAATGCCGGATCTGGATGGAACGACCGATGCTTACAGAACTTCAACGGCTATGGGACGAACCTCTTTCGCTTCATCGAATATGAGAACTTCTATGCAAACTGCACATTTTGATGAGTTTGTCGACGAGGCGCTTGTTCTAGACGATGCTGCTGTATTCGAGCGCTGTTTCCAACATATAGATGATTTTGCTGGTGAGGGTCTCAGGACACTATTATTTGGATATAGATTTTTGGAAGAACAAGAGTATACCGGGTGGAAGAAGATATACTTGGATGCCACAACAAGCCTTGTAGATCGTCAAAACATGATTGAGAGCGCGGGAGAAATGATTGAGCAGGATTTCGATCTTTCGGGTGCTACAGCTATAGAAGATAAACTCCAGCAGGGTGTACCGGAGACGGTGGATAAGTTGAGAAGGGCGAATATTAAAATTTGGATGCTTACGGGGGATAAGAGGGAGACGGCTATTAATATTGCACATTCGGCGAGGATTGCCAAGAATTACTCGGAGGTGGTTATCTTGGATCGGACTACAGGTGAAGTGGAGCAACGAATGGCTACTACATTGCTTGATATCAACAACGGAAATGTCGCGCACTCGGTGATTGTCGTAGATGGACAAACACTTTCGGATATCGATGCGAATAAGACACTTTCACTTTTGTTTTTTGAACTTGTTGTGCAGGCCGATTCGGTTATTTGTTGCCGAGCAAGCCCAAGTCAAAAGGCATCACTCGTGAAGAAGATTCGAACAAAGGTCAATAAATCCATCACCTTGGCCATTGGCGATGGCGCAAATGATATTGCCATGATACAAGAAGCTCATGTGGGAATCGGCATTAGCGGAAAAGAAGGTCTTCAAGCAGCTCGTATATCTGACTATTCGATCGCGCAATTCCGGTTCCTACAGCGATTGTTGTTCGTTCACGGTCACTGGAATTATGTCCGAACAGGAAAGTATATTCTCGGGACTTTCTGGAAAGAATTCTTGTTCTACATGATCCAGGCTGTGTATCAAAAGTGGAATGGATATACCGGTACCTCGCTCTTCGAATCCGCATCTCTGACTGTCTTCAACACGCTCTTCACTTCCCTTTGCGTTATCTTCCTTGGTGTATTCGATCAAGATCTCTCGGCCACAACTTTACTTGCGGTTCCAGAGTTGTATACCTATGGACAACGTGATGGAGGATTCAACCTGGAGAAATACTTTGGTTGGACATTCATGGCTGCGAGCGAAATGATTATGATTTTCTTCCTCGCGTATGGACTTTTTGGAGAATCGAGGTTTACGGATGATAATACGTTGTATTCCCTGGGTGATCTTTGCTTTACGGCAGCGGTTATTATTATTGTTATGAAACTTCTGTGAGTACCTTCCTCAACCCTATTCTTCATCAGTGGAAGAAGTGGCCGATATGATATCACTATTTCTTGCTTCTTGATGGAACTGAGCATATACGCCGTACGGATTGGATGGCTTTATGAAAACGTTTCGACAGAAATAAGAAAATGATGTGTCACTTTCGGCCTATTATTTTCACTGATGGAGAACCCTTTCATCTCCATTTCTCCCAAAACCCCATAATTATTTACACAAACACTAACCGCCCCGCCCCTAGCGTCCTTGAAATGCATAACAAAACCTACATTGCCGCCCTGGGCGCTCTCCTCAGCATCGGCGGTTGGTTCCTCTGGAACCTCCTCCTCTCCTCTATCTACAGCGTTAAAGCCATAACCTACAGTGTTCGGAATGGGTTCCTTTTTGGATTTGGTCGAAATGCTTTATGGTGGTGCACACTCATCATTATTTTGGCGACGGCTTTCGTGTTCGAAGTAGGGGTTAGTAGTGTGAGGAAGGCGTTTTGGCCCGAGGATATTGAGATGTGGCAGATATTAGAAAAGAATGCGGAGGTGAGAATGAGGCTGGAAATGGCGGTTAGGGGGGAGGGGTATGTTGATATTGATGGGGTGGGGAAGGGGAAGAAGAGTGATGATTTTGAGGGGGGTGAGAATGCGGGTGCGGATGGGGAAAGAGAAATTTTAGAATTACTTGAGAGGCCGAGGGTTATGCATTCGGTTGTGCGTGAGAGGTCGCAGGAGAGTGAGAGACCGATTAGTAGTGGGACGGGGGCGGTGAGGGGAAGTGCGAATACGCATTTGAGGATGAGGAAGGGGAGTGTGGTGGATGAGGGTGGGAGTGTGGAGGATACTTATGATCATGAGGTTGGACATGGAAATGATAACAGAAAGGGAAACAAAATGGGGAATGGAACCGGAAATGGGATTGGGAATGTGGCGCTTAGCCCGATAGAAATGGCGGGAATAAATGGTGGAGCGGGGACTAGGAGGGCTTTTAGCTTTAGTTCTTCGGGGGCTTTGTGATGGGATGGGTTGGACTCGGATGGGATGGAATGGAATGGACTGGGCTAGGCTAGGCTAGGCTAGGCTGGGTGTATTTTTTGATTGATGAGAATTGCTAGTTAATATGTATTATTATCATCATGGATACGAATGAAAAAGAAAGGAGAAAGGAGAAGGATGGGATGAGATGAGATGAGATGAGCTTGTAAATGTATATTTATACTTGTAAGACTTACATACATCACTACCCATGACAGAAACAAGTTGAACACTTGTGTAGCGTCAGATTTTCTACTGTAACGTTAAATAAGGGCTTCGGTTCTGGTTCTGGTCCTGCTCGGTCCTGTTTGGTGCGGTTCAGGTTCAGGCTCATATTACAGCTTTCGCATTTCACTCACACCTAACACTTCACACTTCACACCTCACACCTCACACCTCATTCCTGTACTGTTTATGTTTATATTAAATCCTCTTACTCGAGTACTCTTACTCTTAGTGAATACAATACCTACCTACCTACCTACTCGTACTAGTAAACTAGTATTAGTAAACTAGTAGTGAGGACTATGAGATTAAGATTAAGATTAAGATTAAGATTATAGATAATTACCTCGTGAGATGAGTTGTATATACATACATGTACCGCAGAAGTTTTTTTATTTTTTATTTTACTTTTTTTATATTCTCACACTTGAAGAAGAAGAAGAAGAAGAAGAAGAAAGATAGATTATGAGGTGCGAGGTGCGGGTTATGAGATATGAGGCGCAAGGTGCGAGGTGTATATCTATATTATATTATACTCGAGTATTACTGTGATACTTCAATATTCAATATTCAATATTCAAAGTTCGCAGTTCAAAATTCGCAGTTCGCAGTTCAAAGTTCATACAAAGTACTATATATATACCACGAATTTCATGAAGTACTAGCACTCCTCAGTAGTTGTGTATACGTATGTACTATACATAAGATTATTATATATGAGACTATTATAGTATTGAGTACTGTATTCGAGCTTTTATTAATTTATATGCGTGTATGTGTGTGTATATGTATATGTGTGTGTGTATTAGGGGTGGGGGAAGGGGGTACTTGAGTATTTATTTACTATTAATTCAAGTTACTTACCCCCTAGTATATTCCCAATCCATCTCGCTAGTTTGAATCTCACTCTACTCACTTATTCATTTATTTATTTACTTACTTACTCAAGTTACTCGCTCAAGTTACTGTTACTGTTATAGTAATAGTTATAGTTATAGTTATCATGAATGATCACGGTATAGATGAGATGAGATGAAGAATCTAATATAATAGACTAAGACCTAGAGATAGGGCCTAGGAATCAGGGATTAGTTAGTACTCTATTCTACTCAAGTAGTAAGTAAAAGAAAACTCGAATTTGAAAAAAAGAAATTGAAAGAGAGAAATGCGCGAGGAAAGAACAGGATGAGAGGGGATGGAATAGAATGGGGTGAGGAAGGAAGTAGATAATAACTTTAGTTTTCTTTATTGTAGTACTAGTAAGTCTTACTAGTACAACAGGCATCAATATCTGTTTTACTTTTGGTAATGTGATGATTTTGTCAAGTCATACTACTACTGTTTTCAATTTGGGATAATTATGAATGTTTGATATAGCTTTGTACATCTCAAGGTTCTTTTATGCAACATCTATACCAAACTATCAAACTATCAAACTACAAATAAGATTATATTAGTATTAGAAGTGAAAGCAGATTCAGATGATAATAATAAAGACATTTGAATTGTTTTTGAGAGTAATAGTTATGCTACAAGAGATGTAATGATAGCAAAAATAGCTCTTTCTATCTGGTACAAAATTATTCCTTATATGAGTAAGCTCAGATTTTCTTTCGATCTTTGAATCCCCAGCAATGCATCGATAGTCCATATATACTGCGTTTCAAAAATAGCACCTTAAGCTCTCATATTATCCCATCATTACAACCTCATTCACTCGTGATCAATGACAGCACAAGCTATCAATCCACGAAATCAACAAACCCTCTAAATTGATTGATGAAATCGGGGTCCATCTCGCTCACCCAAGCAGGTTCCGGACGAACATTCGGCGCCACTCGGGTATTCTGCTTCTTGCCCACATTATCTCCATCATTACCCGCATCATCATCCATGATCTCAGAGCCCATATTATGAACCCATGCTGGAGCATTACTACCGCCGGTAGACTTCATAACCCCCTCTTGATTCATTTCTGAATCTCCGGCACCTTCCTCATCTCTATCTTCATCCTCTCCCGCGTCAATTCTTCTTCTCTTCATTTGAGGCAATACCGGGCTCTCGTCATATTCATACCCAGATTCATCTCCATGATCATGACCCGTCATTCCATTCCGGAAATCTCTCATCCACGGACTCGACTGCTGTCGTTTCATAGATGGCATACCATCATCAATAGTATCCATCTCCTCTCCCCCTTCAACTTCCTTCTGTATATTCTTCCTACGCGAATCACTCATCAACGGACTAGAGAAATGTTGAGCGTTCGCTTCCTCGGAATTGAACGCCTCAAAATCGAATACGTTATTGGCGAAACTTGTGTTGAGCTTGGGGGTAGCAGGTCGAAGTTTCATTGAATCGTCTAGACCTATCATTGCGGCTTCGACACTGCCGGATGAATCTTCGAATGGATCATCTGAAGTTGAAGGGTTCAAATGGTTGTTTCGCTCTTGCCTACCGATGCCTACGGCTGGAGGTGGTAGCCAAGATTGAGAGGAAGGGCCACTCGTGGCTGCTCGCTTATTACTGCTAAGCAGAGCAGAAGGTGAAGGAAATTCGTACTCATCCGAATCATAAAGGTTCGATTCGTCATTGTTCCCATTCTTAGAGCCACCCGTATCCATAAATGAAAGATTTGGCAACTCTCCACTTGCGTACGAGAAAATAGGCGGGTTTTTCGGGAGTCTAACAGACGAATCTTTCTGGATGCTTGTGTGCAAATTATGTAATTTGCGATAGTCTCTGGGAGCGACATCCGGATATGTGACTGCAGGTAATGTTCTCGAAAGGTCGATTATCTCGACAGCGTCTTGATCGGAGCTTGGACCAGCTGAAAATGTAGGTCGGGATTTCTGAGCCAATTTTGGAAATGGTTTACTACCAGAGGGTTGAGTATTACTCATATTGGGTTTCGCCACAGATCCCTTGATCTTGTCGTCAGTCTTCGAACCTTGATCTCCGGTAATTCCAATAGAGGACTTCTTCCTCGCTAGCTTCCTAGGTTTGTCCAGCCCCTCTCTGCAACACTTGTGCTTACACAATTGACCGTTTTTCAGTAGATTTCCATCGCGACAATGATGATTGCAAGCCCATTTTCCATTATTCATTTTGATAGGCTCTAGTTGATCGATCTCTTCTCTCGCTCTTTCATTTTGATTAGAATTTTCTTGGCCAACTGTGTCAATATCAATGAAGGCATCCGAGCCGTAGTCGCTGGAAACTCGACTTTCGCCTTCGACTTGCTGAGCCGCGGCGAGCATAGCATCATCGTCAATCCCTTCATCAAACTCATCAACCGTACCCGTTTCATCGGCAACCTTCGATTTCTTAATAGCCGGCTTCGCTTCGACCGCCACTTTTGGGGGAGGAAACTCAGACGCAGGAATATCATACTTCAGAACGCAAGATTGCATAGTGCCAACAATCTCATCACAAGCGATCCAACATTTGATCTCATCATCTGGTGATGAAAGCTCGGCGGTAAATTCTTGCTTACTACCATTTGACAATCGTCTGATGTTTCCACGCCAGAAACACACTAAGATTCCATTCGATGTCTCGGCTATGAAAGTCAAAGCAGGTATCCTGCCCAACCAGCTGGGTACTTTTGTATTCGCATACCCAAAGACGGCGCTAACTTTGACTTTTGGCTGCTCTCCTGCTTTTGAAAACGCTCTACCAACAATTTGAGCCTTGAGAGTTAGTCGAGGAAAGTCCATCAAACTGTCCTTCATTTTCTTTCCAAATGGAGGATTCTTGCCCATTACTCTTTCAATTCCTGAAATATCAAGTCCAGCAAGCTTCTCTACAGTATTGACATTGTTTCCTATTAATTTTCGCAGAGTCGCAGGTCCGATTTGTGGGACTTGTCTCAATTGCAGCGATGAATTCTCCCAATAGCCTGCGGCAATACTCCTAGAAAGATCGAGAGCAAAGCGTGTAGATATTGAATCGCAATCCACAGCTTTACAGTCAACAACACACCGAATCAAACGCTGGAATCGATCGAGGATGATGTTTGTCTCCATAGAGAAATTTCGGCTAACGATGCGAAAGTCATTATTCGTTAGCGGCTCGATGCCACCAAGCTGCACTTGAATCATGAGAAATATCTTATGTCCTGTTGTTGATATGTTCTCTTTGATCGGGAATTTCATCATCGGAGATTTATTATATTCCCGAAGACTAGAGCGCTCATTTGGCTTCATTCGGAGGTCTTTGAACTCGGCCGCTTGACATATTGTGTTCAATATCTGCTCCGTCTTCGAATGGCGAGGAATACTCAAAAGTAGTTTCATCGTCTCAAATTGGACCATATATCGGCCCATAGCGGCACCATATTCTGTACAAGAGAATGTTTCCTCCTTTGTGACAAGCTCATAATCTTGAAGGAGTTTTACATCCCTCTCGCACACCAACTCGAGCTGTTCGTCCGCGTCTCTACTGAACACTATCCCTGAAAACTTGTAATAGTTAGGATTCTGTCTCATTCTGACACTCAAGAACGTTCCTCCTAGCCATACTTTGGCTTCATAAGCAGTTTTGATTGTACGAAGTCCGATTTCGGAGTTCAGATGCTCGATGAGATTCAGATGTAGTGTACTCTCCAGAGTATCCTGACCTGAGATCATCTTTTTGTATCGATCCGCTTTATCCATCCGGGTCATGATTATGGCAATGGCGCTATCATCGAACTGGGGTCTTCCAGCGCGTCCTAGCATTTGCATAACCTCGAGATCGGAGTACTCGACAAGACCACTATCTTGAAAGCAGACCGTGCCTTTCAGAACCACGAGATGACAAGGTAAATTGACCCCAACAGCCAATGTTGAAGTGCAACAGATCACACTGATATCCCCTTTCAAATAAGCTGTTTCAATGGCACATCTGTCTTGCGAGTCAAGACCTGCATGATGATAGGCGACACCACAGCCCACCAGTTCCTGTAAATCTTTGCTTCCAACTGCTGTTCGAATCGTTGGAGCTGGCCAAGCACGATCTACTACTCTCTGTCTAGTCCAATGCTCAGCAAGAATAGCCGCGGTACCTTCACACGATTTTCTTGTGAAACAGAAAACCATAATAGGTTTCTTGCACGAGTACTTCTGAATCAGAGCTGGGATTTTACCATCAAGAATCTTTTCGAAAGCAAAATCATTTGCACGGCTCTCGTATCCATGAACGTGCTTTTGTAATTTGACAGGTCGAAATTCTTCACCGAAAGTTTCTCGATGTGCAGGTAAATGACGGCTGCTCGAGTCTCTTCCAAGCCAGGTCGCAATATCATTCTTCAAAAAGGAAAAGTCAGTGATTATTTATAATGAGAGAGATAGAAAGGTGTAGACTATATTGGAAGTAAAAGTGAAAAGAACCACGTAAACTCACTGAATTTGGAACAGTAGCACTCAGCGCAACAAATCGAACACTAGTCCCGATAGAATGCATCCGAGAAACCACAGCTTCAAGAGTAGCACCTCTCACATCCTTGAGAATATGAACCTCATCAATCAAGAACAGCTTCACCAATTGCAAAAGCTTTTGATAATCTGTCCATTTCCGAGTAATGCTATCCCATTTCTCTGGTGTAGTTATGATGATTGATGCATTTCCGACTCTGCTCATCTCCGCGTTGCTGGTAAAAGGAAATTCAGTACTTTCTCTAAAGGAAGATGGGGCTTTGAGGTAAAGGGTGGAGATGCAAAAGCGTGTCAGGAAATAGAAAGGTGCAGACGTCGAACCATAGAATGGAAATAAGGCTCAAAGAAATGCGATGATAGACTCGATTTGCTCACCTTGTATCACCAGTAAGTTCTGCAACAGGTAAATTCAAATGACTAAACTTCTTAGTCCAATCCCTCATACGCTCCGAACAGAGAGATTTGATGGGTGCTTGATACACGATCTTGAATTGTCCAGAACCATAGCTTTCAACTAGCTTACAAATAGCAAGTTCCAGAAGAGCTGTCTTACCACTTCCAGTGGGGGCTGACACAACAATGTTATTGTTGGTCTTATAGATTGGAGCAAAACATTTGGACTGGACAGCATTGAAGAGTTCGTATGGGAAAACCTGTCGGAACCTATCGGGAAGTTCATGCGGAGACACAAGTTGAATTCCGTGTGCCATAGGCGGTGCATTTCCGAAGGCAATTATTTGTCTATCATTTCGGACTTGCCCAGCACTACCAGGGTATGTCTGCTGTGCAGGAGAGAAGCCCGAATGTTCTGCACTGCGATCTAAATTTTGTATGTGCGAGGGCCTCGACGATAGAGCATATCTGTCGCTGGGTGATGTTTGATTTTGAGGTGTGTGTGGAGTTATGTACTGGTATTCGAAGCCCTGCTCTACTTCTCGTGTGTTGGATGGGGGTAAACGTCGGTTCGAATTTCGACGAGAGCTGACCCTAGCACTAGGACTCGAGCCTGGGAGGGCTGAGGGAGAGGAGTCTGTCGTGGCGTTCATCCGTTCAGGAGGTCTATAAGCAAATGCACCTGAGATTATTAGCTTGCGTATCTTGTATGTGAATCAATGAAAACAATTGTCATACTCAAGTTATTTCTAGTAAATGGCGGCGTAATCTGTTGATTCTGCAGCTGAAATTGCTGAGGTCTCTCCAACTGTGTTTGAAATATGTTTTGGCTTGGAGGGTTGGGTCCACCAGGTCGAGGCATCGACATTGATGTCTGCAAGATCATGTTATTGGCAAGCTGAGTGAGAGGGCTATGTCCTTCACCAAGTCCAGAATTGGAAAGATGTGCCGGTCTGCTCCTCGGCTTGCTTTTCAATTCAATGTCCTGTAAGATCTGTGCTTTGTTAAAGTGATGATCTGCATTGGCCAGTACCCTAGTTTTATTTAGCTCACCAAGGGAGTTCGATTCTGCCTGGCTGTCAATAAGAGAAGGAAACCTAGGAAGAGACAAGCGGCCTTGGCCGTTGCCATTGCTAGTGGTAGGATAAGTAAGCCTTTGCAAAGGCTGAGGCAGCTCAAACGATGGACGACTCAAGTACCCCGAAAGTGGATCATGCCCTGGAATACTGTATGAGGTTCGCACAATTGTATCTTGACCAGGAGGTGACAACTTTTGCCCAGGCTGTCTAGGTGCCGGTCCAAGACTGAAACCTGCAGAAGGAGGTTGTTGCTCACTAGGAGCCATTAGATATCCAGATGATTGGCTACGCTCCATGTTATCATATGAAGCCCGCACATTCAGATCTTGACCGAATCCCGAAACTGATCCTGATGTCTGTTGACTACGCTGAATTGGAGACGGTCCAAAGCTGAATCCTGTTCCCGGATGTGATTGTTGAGTGTTTTGATTTGTGAAGAGGTTGGTTGAAAATGATTGATCTTTACTATCTTCACGATGAGATACACTGCCAGATACATCGCCGCTTGCATTATCGATAGCTCTTTGGAGATGAGGATCCCATTTTCTATCCATGATGGCCTTCACAAAAAGCGGAGCAAGACTTTTGTCTGCTCACTCGTAGGTGATCTTGAAACTTTCCCAGGATTGATATGGATAGATAGATAAAATGAAGTTCAACTAACAGAAAATATCAAAGTCTATCTATATAGCAATAGAAAACAATATCATGAAGATAGAAAAGAATGTTGTGAAAGGTGTTGGAGGCACCCATCGACGTTGGTTTTCTCCTCAATTTTAGCGTCATTTCCACCTTTGGCTTCACTTCACGTCACTTCACTTCACTTCACTTCACTTCACTTCACTTCACCCTTCACTTTTAACAACATCGATATTCTTTACTTAAGGATTCGATGTAAGAGCAGCGCATAATGTCTATACCCCCAGAATTGATAGTATTCAGAAGTCTTAGAGCATGCTAACGTTGAGAAGGTCTACTTCGTGTGTCTATCACGTGCCAAGCCCACGTGTCGTTCATCCCTTTTCCTACCAGTTACCGTTTCTCCATGTAGACCAATCACTTGAACCGACTTACCATAATTATTTATTTGACCCCTAGCTATCCCGTAGGTATCCTATGCGTGCGCACCCATATTGTACTTTTCCACCTTGATATGATTCCTTCGTTTCTGCATTCATCGTCTTCCATCCTTTCACCTCTTTGCCCCCCAGTCCCCAAGCGAAGTTGATGGAGAGTCAACGGGACTAACCTTCCTTTAATAGCATAAGGTTATTGAGATGATGAAGTCGCTGAATATACTTCAAGATTCCCTAACCCAGCTTCAACTTCAAGCCCAGTCCACCCAAATTACTCATCCCTCTTAACCTTCCCCCTCGAACTCCCCACTCTCGAATGATGTCTCATAGGCGAACTCGGCCTACTGGTCGACAACGACGCCCCCGCCCCTGGACCTTTTAACCCACTCAACGGATCCAACGTCAAACTCGACCTATCCTCTTCATACTTTGGCGTAAACCCATTATCAATTGTCGTCTTCTCATAACTCGCAATATTGATCGGCGGAGGTCTATTTCGTTTTCTCTCCGGGCCGCTGTAGAGCCATGTTGCAAATATGACTACAGATGTACCGAGAAGAAACTATGAACTTGTGAGTATGTATGCATCTTCAAAAGTATTCATCTTCAAAAGTATTCATCTTCAAGACTTACATTGAGAGAAACCTTGAAATCGAAAAACCAAACGCTGAAAACAAAACTAATAATAATACTGATACTTGTCGCAAAATTCTTCGCGATGTTATCGCTGGTATTTATGCACAGTGCAACCAAGACCCCTCCCAAAGCCTGCATAATAATAGCAGCCCACACCACGGCATTGTACCCATCAAAGAAGCCGTTCTTTGCAATTTGCTCTCCGTCCTTAAATATTACCCCGAAAATCAAGGCCGGGAAGAGAGAATAGAAAGAAAGCTGAACATTTCTCGTCCAAATCGTAACATGAGTCGTGGATTCCTTCAACACCTTCTCAAAATAAACCCCCGTGAGACCAGATATCACGGCCGCGGTCAATACAGCCATAAGACCAATCGAATAGTTCATCACCGGTTTGACCAGTCCTTGGTCCTCTTGGATTCCCTCATATGTAGCAGATCGTTTTGTGAGGCCCTCCGAGAATCCCTCCATACCACGTTTCGTCAACTCGGCTGCCACTTCCACCGCCCCATTGCCCATTTGTCCCAGTTCGTGAAAGGAGCGTGGAAAATAAAACCGCGATTGTGGATCGTGAAGGGTCGAATACGCAGATGGATTACTGTCAGGTAGTTGAACAATCGTGACTCCAATTGTGAGCAAAGCAAGAGCTATCCAACGTTTGGAAGAGAGTGCCTTTCGAAGTAAGACCACACTGAAAATTGCTGTTGTAAGAATCTACATGATGAGATCAGTAAATGAGCTCTCCCCATACACAATCGGCAGAACCAACCTTCAATTGATACAGAACCTGGAAGTGCACAGCTTCCAAATTGCTCACAGCAATATACTGTAGCGAATTCTGCAACGTATAGAGCGTAGCTGGGATAGCCAATTTCCAACCATCTCCAGAAAACACCGACATATACAATTGTTCGAAGAGAACCGTCGCCGGAGTAGAAGGAGGTAGCGTTCGTGAAATATCGTACATGGCAATCGTCAAGGAAACCGCCAACTTCATAATCTCATTGAGAAAAACTGCCGTTGATGTGAAATATCGATGCCCACCCGCTAATGGCATTATCCTACTATAATGCATTATCTATGTCCATATTAGCAATCCCTCTCTGCCAATATGTCCTGTCGGTGAGAAAGTGGGAGCGCTTCGATGATGTCAACGTACGAGTATGAGGACCGAATTTTGGAAAGTAAGCTGCGAAAGCATTAGCATCGCTCCAATCATCCACATAAGTATATCCTCACAGTAACAAGAGAAACATGCTTCATCGACACCCCCATCCAATTCTGCGACGCATCTTCTATGGCCATCGCGCTCACAGATTATTCTTCTCTCTCTTGTCTCTTTGTGTCAAAACAGCGGGGGCGGGTCCTCCTCTCCTCTCAATTCTCAATAATCTTGTGTGTTGAAGAATAATTAATTTCGTAAAACAGCAGTAAAATAAAAAGATGATAAACAAGCAAAAGCCTTTATGTGCAAGGCAAGCGGTGAGCTCAATATTGTAAAGGAAAGGAAGTTTTCTGCTTTGATTCGCAAAGTGACGATTTATTGTTCTTGTAGATGCCCAAATTCAAGATTCGTGAAGTTACACATAACCTTACCGACCAACCAATCACAGTCACAATCAAACCTAGCAAGCTTTCTCTCCTACAAATTCAAGCTTGAGCCCTGTGGTCAGACTGTACAACTGAGGAGATTTATACGCTGAAATAAGAACAAATGTTTTCCAATCATTGTTAGTTTTTCTCCCAACCTTGGTCTTCAAACAATCAAAGGAGAACGAGAATCCCATCCCATCCCATCCCATCTCAATTCACATATCATCTTGAGCCTCAAGCCCTTCATCAAGATTATCCAAAGACCTTACTTAGACCTTTCTTGAACACTTGGAAGCAAAACAAGAAATCTAACTACTGGTACCGGCCGCAGGTATGTCTCACTCTAACCAAACTCTCTCATCCATCCACCCCATTCGCCTCCCCCAGATCCCCAGACCACGCTTACTTGCTTACATCGCTTACATTGATAACCATACATCGCTAACCCTAAAATACAGCACATATGCACCACACACTGGTTGGTACCGATATTAGCATACATATTAGCATCGTCATACATACATATACTAGTAATAATACTATACTCATAGAAATAATCTCGAGTATATATACAGCGTTACATACATTCCCAAAAGTTGTCCCAAATTTCTATTCCCACCCAGTCTCTTCCTCCATCCCCCCCCAATACCCGTTCATTACCGTGACACCCCAGAAATCTCGAAACCACCAAGAGCCTCGTGATGAGACAGTTTCACACTTCCACACTTCCACCCTTCTACCACCCAGATACCGGTAACTCTCGTACTCTCGTACCTTCTTCCTTTACATCTTACATCTTACATCTTACATCTTACATCTTACATCTTACATCTTACATCTTACATCTTACATCTTACATCTTACACCTTACACCTCAAGTTTCTCAGTACATATAAATCATCCCCATTCCCATCCCTATCCTCATCCTCATCCTTATCCCTCTATTTTCCTCCCCATCCCCATATCCATATCCGGATACATCCATCCAGACAGACTCAAGCCAAGAACATTCAACTCTCTCCCTCCCCCTAACTTTCCCCCAACTTCCCACCGCCCTCTGAACCTCCGGAGCGTACTATACCAGCCGAGCTACCTCTCTCTACCTGCCGATACTACAGGAACTTATTGTCAGGTACTTGAACATTGAACATTTGACATTCAGCACTCAATATATATTTAACACTCAAAATTTAACATTAAACTGAAATCAGTAATTCTGTTCTATTCTCTTTATCCGAGTATCAATTCTGTGTTTTCTCTCTCTCTCTCTCTCTCTCTCTCTTTATATACTTATATACTTATATACTTATATATACACATTATCTTATCCCGCCTCAAATATCTAAAGATACTATGCTATACTACACTTCCCCTCCCTCTCTTTCCCCCTCCCCCACTATATATAACCTATACATCTCCCCAAACACCCCATCCACCAACACCATCCCATACATTTTCAATTCCCACCTCCTCCCACCTCCTCCCACCACCTTCCTCCATGCAATAAAAAGTATAAAAAAAAGAGGGGTATATAAGCGTACGTATATAACCCAAAAAAAGCAAAAAACCCATGAATCAATATAACATCATGAGAAAGTAAATAAGACATCCCCCCTCCCTCTCTCCCTCCCTCCCTCCCTCCATTCCCCATCTCCCTATTCAAACACACACACACACATATATATATGCAAATCTCCGTCCAAAGTCCAAAGTCCAAAATCCAAACAAAAGAAAATGAAAAACGCTGCCTGTGATATCTCCCTCATTATAATAATATACATTACCCCCAAGAATAATAAAAATTCTAATCCTACAATCCCCAAACTCCCTCCTCTTCATCTTCCACAAACCTTACCTTCCCTACACTCGGAGTCCTCTTTTTATGCCCTCGCATCTTCTGTGCCTGCGGCCCGTCACCCAAAGGACTAAACCTTGGATCATTGAGCGGTGGAGTCCCCTCTCTCTTCGGCGCCTGACTTCCATTCCCCACCCCCCTAGCCTTACTTCTCTCCACCACCCTACTATTTTTCGGGATCCCCTCATCATCCTCACTCCCCAAACTCAAAAAATCGCTCAGTTTCGGACTTGGTTGCCCATGTTCATTTCCCTTCCCATATCCCAAACCCCTTCCCTTCATAATCGGCGCATCCAGATACAACGGCACACGTTCCGTACCCGGTTTAATCGTATCCTTAGCTTTCTCCGCGCCCAAACTCGGGGGAGATTTTCCACCACTGCCCTCCGCCTCGTGTTCTTCAATGATTCTCTCGCGCATGCGTGCTCGTTTTTGGCGGAGAGCTTCGAGAAGCGCTTCTTCTTGCTTGGTGACTTTCATCAGGCGACCACTGATTGTGCGGGGCGGAGCGGTTTCGACATCGGTTTCTTTGGGAGAGATTGGTGGTGTTGGTTGCTGCTGCTGTACGGATCCCTTGGACGAGACGGAACCTTTCCTTTGGGATGAGGTTGGTCGAGATTCTTGTGACTTTACAGAATCTTGTCTCGTGATCGTTGGTGGCATTGGGAATTTGGATAATCCCCCATTTGACTCCGGAATTGTTAGAAAAGCACTTAATTGTGCACCTCCCTTCCTCGTCGTTGAATTTTTCAATGCCGACGGTCTCCTTGCCGGGTTTTTGGTGGTACTCAAGCGGATTTGAAGTGCAGGGGGGATGATTTCGCTCTCAGCATGCGAAGGAGCTTTGCCAATAGATATATTATCACGAGATTTCGATGGTTCAGTATCTGATAAATCTTCTTCCGAATCAGATGATAATGACAGTACACTACTTTGCTGTAGATCTGCACTCGAGAAGACACTCCCGGCGGTTTGTCTTGATGTCTTGGTGTTGTGACTGGATACGCTCGCTGTACTGGATATACCCAGACTAGAATGACCTGTACTCTGGGAGATCATACTGTTGCGAAAATTGCCATTGGCATTCGAACGAACGTTCTTCCACGAAAATGCTTCTTTCTCTCCAGAGCTAGAATGCAAATCTTCTAGTCTTCGATGACCTTCTCGTTTCTCCGAATTGGGTGATCCGGGTTGCCGGCCTTTACTATTTTCTGACGTTCTGGTAAAAAGGTTAAGAGGTTCCGGGACATTTGATTCTGGTATTGACTTTATATGAGCATTCGCAGCTGATTGCTCATAGTGATCATAAGAGTTTTGTGAGCTACCGTCAGTAGTCTGACCTTGCTTCGGATCTCTTTGGTCCTTCGACTTTGTTGTCAGAATGCTTGGCCTTTGCGATGGTAATGGGTCCTTCGAAGCTGCTTTCACAAGCCTATTTCGAAGTGAACCACTTTGTTTCGAAGATTCAATTGAATTCTGTGATACAGCCGAGGGCCTTCTTTCTGACCTATGAAACAACGACGACAAACCCAACCTCATAGACTTCTTACGCTCCAATGATCCTAACTGATTATCGTTCATACTCGAGAGACTTTGACCAGCTTGATCCCATGGATCCATAGAATCGACTTGTAAGAGTGGACTCCTGTTCACAACTGGCGAAACGCCTTTTCGAAGAGCTAAATCTCGTGCAGAAGATGCAGAGGTTTGTTGTGAAATTGCCGGGGGTAACTTCTGTCGATCATAATGTGACTTTAAAGTAGAAGTAGAATCCTCATTCCTCAGCCGACACGTCGTACTGGAAGTTTCCGTAGCCATATCTTCTCCAAATCGTTGACCCAATGCATTTGACGAAGCCTTTCCTCTCAAACCCGTCTGTTTAGGGAAAACGCCCGATTCTCCATCCCATTGATCATGATTTCCACCATTATCATGTATTGATCTCGTCGAATGTGTAGATTCCGAAATAGAAATGCTCATTCGGCTAGACGTAGATCCGGGTCTCCTCCAATCTCCGGGTTCGGCAGTACCAGTCCCCAGAATCTGCTCCGCCTTGGATAAATTCCCCGAAGAAGTTTTCGGTATCGGTGGAGGTGCTTGATAGGCTTGTTCCTTGCTCGAACTGCGCTTGCGCCCAGGAATGGGAAATAAAAATTTCGAAGTCCGTCCCATTTTGTTGAAGCTTCAAATGACCAGAGGGTAGCTAGTATGAGTATTCGTAGATATGGTCGACCTCGGTGTGCTTCTTCCCAAGCTATATATAGCTCTACCCCAGAATGCCGTGTGCGGCGGCGTTGTGCTGTTGTCAATCGAGCCTTCGTTACCGTTCGTCCATGAGCATCGTGTCTTTGATCGTGGATTGACTGGAGGGGTTCTGATAGCCGCTAAATAGGTCTCGAGGCTGGAGCCGTTATGCAATTGGTATATCTGGCTGCGGCTACTCACAAGGCTTACAATATAAGTAATCGCTGTATGTTAAGTTATCATGAAGTCGTTGAAGTAGAATATTTGTTTCGATAGTTGTGAAAAATATGGCACTCGACGAAGGTTTGGATCAAGTCAAGGTCTGGTTAGGTTTCAAAAACGGATGGCAAGAGAAAAGAAAAAGAGATTCCTGGTAGATTCGGATATTTCATATTCCAATAATCAGAACTCACTCTGGGAAGATGGTTACAACTTTACAACTTACAGATTGGTAGGATGAACTGATCGTGCCAAATCGCAATCTCAAAGAGGCCCCATCCATCCTTGATCAATATGGAATGCACCCTGCACGATAATTGGGGAACCCTTTCTAAGACGATTGTTACCATTAAAGGTTTGGTGCAAGGTATTTTATCTTCAGGGTTTTTTGAGTAGTTGATGATTAAATCTAGGATTGTCCATGCTGGTAAATTGCTTGCCATCGAGTACGAAGGCTCAAAAATTAAGAATCAGGAAACTAGGAAAGTCTTGAAGATTTCATAGTGAGATGAGATCAAGGGCTTGACAAGTTGACGGGCCGCTTCCAATCACGGAAATTGCATGGTATATTCATGCATAGATATTTCTTATAAGCCTAATAAACAACGGAGTCAAACTACGGATATGGAGTAGGAAATAGATGTGGCCAGGATATCCATCTGAGAATATCTGGCTATGTACACAGTTACCCGTATCATCGTCTTGTTGTATTGAGGTGACATCTCGGTAATACCATGATTCATGAAGGGGTAAATTCCATTCCCATCTAAATTCATGAAACCTTGCCAAACCTCAAAAGATGTCACTCAATTAGCACAAAGAGCAAGCAAGACACATGTAAAATATTGTCATGATAATCCACCGACTACCTTATCCAATACAGAGTATCATGATTCAATACATTTCCCTATCTTCGCTGCCACAACAACTTCCCTTCAGGCTTCACCAAGCACCATCCATCTGATCTACTCGAGTAATTCTCTTAAACTATCGAACTGCCTAACTTCATCTCTTCATACTCATTTAAATGAACCAAGCATTCAAATCAATTCTTTCCATCTAAACCTCTCCAAGTACGTGCTGTACCGTGCTTTAACACAGGCAGACTTCCTGTCCTCATAAATGTGAACACCGGTATCCCCTCAATTCCCAAATTCCCAAATTCCCAAATCAAACCATGCCATGTGCGTTCACCGTGTGTGCATATAGGTATGAATCAGGACACACACCCCGAAAGCTTGGTGCATGTGTCTTTAGATTATTATCTACACAACCAAGTGACACAGTACTGTACTCCCAAGAACAACCCCTATCCTACCTGGATCCTGAAGGTCTCAGAAGAACGAGTGCATCACCAGCGTATCATCGTGCTTGCTTCGAAATCCTCCAAGACTTCAAGCACCGCACAGCACAGCATCACGAACCTCTTTTAATACAAATATGATGCATTCGTGATCTATCTAAAAGTCTCGACCCAAAGATTCGGGTCCCCCAAAAAACACCACCCAACCATCCCCCGAAAAAGTGCCCATAGCCATTCCATCAAATGCGATCATGGCATCAAGTAGTTCGTTCACATCAAGTAGGTAGTTCGTTCACCCACTTCCAACTCCATTTCCACATCCACATCTTTCAACCTCAGCCTCAACCCCAACCCAGGTTCTTCCCTCCTTCCACTCCACCAAATAAGCACTAGAAGCAGTCCAAGAAGTTCCACGCTCGAACCTTCTTGGAGCCCCAATTCCAATTTCACCAATTCATCCATCTCATCAATTCATCTCAGTAAGTATATTTTCTTTTTCCCCCTCCATAATCCTCATACAGCTCAGCTGAAACCGGCTGAACGGCTTAGTACGAAGATCTCTCCTAGGTATTGAATAACTCTTCCCCTCTAAATTAAATGAACCCACCCCTCAAAAATCCCTTTGGAACATCATCTACAGTACTCATATTTCCAGCTGAATGGTTCGTTACTATTGTATTACCCATGACGAAGATCTATATATATTTTTATTTACTTTTTCCTTTTCCACTCATACAGGTACCGGTACTTTAGTCTCATACCTCCTACCTACACTACAAGAATACTCAAATGCATACTCATTCATACATACAAAACACGTTCCGGTATTGACTGACATGATACGACGAAACATAAGATAAGAGAAACTCTAGACTACCGGTACAGTACCGGTTTGTGGCGGTATCACAATACCATACATAACAAACAAACACCCCTCCCTCATCTTCCCCTCCCTTTCCCTTCTTTTCCGCCCCACTACTCTCCTCTCCTCCTCTCATCCCCTCTCTCATCCTCAACCACTCTCCCCGCCATCAAATATCACATCTATGTATATATACATGCCATAACCCAACCACCTACCTATCTTCCATCCCATCTAATAATGCCTCATAAAATGACTTACTATTCCCTTCAATCTTCCTTTTATCCCATCATCTCACACCCTTTCCCCCCCCCCTTCTCCCCCCTCTTCCTCTTCTCATCCCATCATCTCATCATCTCATCATCCCATCATCCCATCATCCCATCCTTCCCTTCTCATCCCATCACCTCTATTCTTATCCCATATATACCCTTCTCATCCCATCATCCCATCCTTCCCACTCTTTTCATCCTTCCCATCATCCCATCATCCCACACCCTTCTCATCCCATCAACCTTCTCCCCCCTCATCCCATACACACCCTTATCATCCCACACCACTACAATACCTACCTACCTACCTTCCAGCTACCTACCATACCATACCATACCACTACAATACCTACCACCTGCCACATACCACCTACCACCCCATCATCCATCTCATCTCCGCGCCCGCATAACCTTACCATACCATACATTACAAAAAACATGAGATTCTTCCCCGCTCCGCCGCTGCCTGCGTGCCATCTCCCGAGAACTTCCACCCACCTTAAACCGAGGTACCTAAAACATCCATCGTTTCATGACAACCGACAACCGACAACCATGTGTTTCTGTTACAGAATCTTGGAGTAATAGTTATATTAACCTCATGATATTGTATTCAAAATAATGTATAGTACTGTCAAACCATTCAACGAATCACTACATTTTAGCCAAAATATTTCAAAGTCGGATGAAAGAAACATTCAACAATCTGCATTTCTAGACTTCATGCATTTCATACATTGATATTTATTTTACTATTTCTATCAAGCATCAAATAGTTTCTGAAAAATTATATATGGAAGTGGTCGAAGCTAAAGTCTATATAAATAGTGCCCAAGCTACAAGAAGATTTCAATAATAAAACATTTTTATGGACTTCCGAAACATGGCAACGCGCGCAATCTAGCCGATGTAGAATTTGTCTTTCTGTTCAATTTTTCGGTACATAGCATATTTCGAAGACTACAATAGAACTAATGCGAACTGTTTGATCTGAGACTGAAGGGACTAGTTGCCGCTAGAGCATCACGTCGCTTCTTGGATGCATTCGCAGGAATGTCGTCACCGGCACGTTTATTAGAATGCTGAGGGATTGACTGGGCCGGTACTCGTGGTGATCTTCGCAAGGTCTCGTTATGTAAGCTTCTCCATGAGCTCGGAGTTTGAGTGCTGCTTCCTTCACTTCGCAAACCTCGCATTGAACCTTCATGAGGTTGGCGAAGACGGTGAGCGACTGGCGTAAGCTGGGTCTGATCTTGAGATTGCTCGGGCAGATCGACTTCAGGTATTGCTGTAGCAAACTATGATGTATCAATACTCTATTCTGGCTTTTCGGGGAGGGGGGAGGGTGAAATACTCACAAGCTTGGTGTGCGAAATGTGCTTAGATGGATCGAACAATTCAACTCGAAGTTTATCAAGATCAGTAAAACGGAATGGTTCCTTAGAGGACTTCGAGGAACATTTCTTGATGATTCCTTCAGTTTTCAAAGAGTCGATCAAGTCCTGAGTGTCTTTCTGGTTCAAATCTAGGATAGTGGTCAATGCTGTTCGAACATTCACTGGACAAGACTCACCCATATACTGGCAAAGGCCTTCGAGATCATTGAAGCCATTGTGCTCAAGGTAATGCACCATGCGTCTGCGAGTACAAAGAGGATATATCTTTTCAAAAAGAATACTTGGCTCTGACACCACCAAAAGACAGTCATAACACTCGAAATTTGCGCCGACAGTCCCCTTGCTGTAACCGTAGCACTGGCTGTGGCAGTAATTTCCACAGTTGCAGCATTTGATCTTTCTTCCTATTAGAACATATAAGCGAAGAGAAAGAATGACATACCAAGTTTTCACGATCATCAAAGTTCATGCATTCGCACTGTACCTTGTCTTCTTCTTCTGATGCTTCCTCAACCTCCTTATCATCAAGTTCTTCTGGTTCTTGAAATATCGTATGCTTTCCGAAGCTAATGGGCTGGCTGACACGAAGCTGTGTATCGATGTCATCCGATCCTCTTGTGTGTCCCTTTATTTCAAACCAGGTTAGTATACAAAAATAAAGAACGAATTCACTGTACTTGTTGCTAGCATCTTACAATCTCGTTGAGCCACTGAATTGTGTTTCTCTGTGGGGTGCTATCGACCTGTGATGACTGTGTGTCTCTCGAGGAAGACTGATGATTGGCATCGATAGCTGCCCTTGGTGTTGTAGAATTGAGGGCTCTGGTCATCGCGAAACGCTCTTGATGGGGAGTTGCGTTGACAGTACTGGAGGCTTTGGCTTTGAGAAGGCGGGCATTGGTCGCTGGAGCGGTATAATATCTAATTGCAAGCCTATGTATGTTAGAGTTATTCTACAGTCTCTTGGGTATTAGCAGTTTCATACCCGTGGAGACCATTATTCATTCTACCCATTGAGAACCCACAATCTTCAGGTAGTATTTGAGATGTCGATGCAGCACAAAAGCCACGATACTCGTGCTTAGGACGTGCATTCTCATTATATAACAGTTGCAAGCTCACCTTGCGCCCAGCTACATTTCTGCTTAGTGGATATACTATTTGGAAAGTACAAAGGCTCTAAACTTACCGGATTCACCACTAATATTTCGAGAAGCACTCATGACTTGTACAATCAACTCTCTCAAATCATTATGTGCATGTCCAAGATTGACAACCTTCCCAGCCTTATCCGACATTGAAGCAGAAACCTGCACATGGGAATTGCTTCCAGTATCCTTGTAAGTGAAGCTTATTGTGAGAGCTTCGACGAGCTGTTCTGGAACAACTTCTTTACGATAAACGGAAAGCTGGAACTTCGCCAAACATTTGTCGTTCACAGCATTGACGACTCCAAATTCCTAAGTACCTGTTAGTTAATCACAAAATGATAAAGGCTTGCAGGAATGTGGTGTATTACAAGCCAATCGAGTAGCTTTTCGACTCCCCGATGACCTGTTCCTCGCACAATAGAGTTGAAAGATATGATTTCATCGCCAGCTTCGTTCAAGTTTAGATTCTTGGGAATATTCGTGCCATTGATAAACGTTTCATATGTAAGATCAGGATCAGATGCATCGTAGATTCGGGTTTTGTAGCAATTGCCAGGAAAGAAATCCCTACGTTCGGGATGAGTAACATAAAGAATCAGGAAACCTGTTGACAAACAAACCTGCAAAAGACAAACTGGCTAACCTGAGAAGTATTCATCAGCAGGAGGTAGAAAAGAGAAGGGCTTCATGGTACATACAGCAACATTGACACCAATTTTGACTAACTCGAAACTTTGCTCTTGACTGAGTGCAAGATCTTGCACTCTCTTTGGCGCCTCCACAACAGCTTTAATCTTTCCCTTCTCCTTCTGCTTAGGTTTTATCTGTGGCTTTGTTTGTGGTTTAGCACGAACAGGGCGTGTAAGTAGCTTTGGTGGCATGATGAAGTATAGAGGCAGTTTATTTTGTGAAAAGTTTCGGAGTGTGGGATGTAAAATAGAAGTCCATAAATGCCCTTCAGCTTCCCATGAACCAAAGTTCAACTGGTGATGAAAATTGTGACTCTAAGGTCCGTTCTTAAAGGTAACAAGGACACACAATCCAAGGCAAAGAACAGAGTGTGGTGAAGAGTGAATGATGTTTCGGTGAATTCGGCGTGTATTGATTACTTGTATGGGAAGAGACAATATGAGATGGCAAGAGAGACTGGAAGAGGAAGAGAAGAGAAAAGAAGAGATTGAAATCGAAGTTCTGAAAATGAAGATGAAGATGAATTAATGGAAAGTGAGTACCTAGTAGTATTTGTGGATAATTGAAAGAGAGTGACTAAGAAAATGAGAAAAGAAGTACCGGTAGGTATAGGAAGGTATGAGTATCGAATGGGTTAGAAAAAGGAAGTCACGACCTTCTCCATTTCTTCAAGTCCCCCCATGCCAATATTACCTAGTATATACCGAATACAAATTCTAGAAGAAATTCGAATGTTAACCACCTAGAGTACTCGAAGATATAAGAATTGAAACTCTGTATTATTTTTCATCAATCTCTTAGATGAGGTTCTTTGAGATCTCTTGTCTCAAACGCTCATTATCTAGGTATGTAGATTGGAAATTCCTCAAAAACTGTCAGTTCTGATTCCAATACTTGAACACATTTGATGAATTGCTTCTTTTATCTACACTTCATTCTTGGAGAAGTAGAAAACTCCAAAGTTCTGGAACGTACCTACTTACAAGTAATTTAGGTCAGAGAATAACAGCCTCGACCTCGACCTCGACCTCGACCAACAGCATACGATTCTTGATCTTGGAATATGAAGGAAACTCTGTGAATATACCCATCTACCCAACGACTACTGTATTTCTTAAGTATGGTGGTATTTGGTTCAGGAGGACATCCCTTCATTTGACAGAGTCTTTGGAAATTCTCGTTCCAGCACTTGCGGATTCCATCGATTTTGTGACTGCGCGGTTGCTGGGAAACTCTCCTCTTTAACACCTCAGCCAGTCTCACAGGAAATCACCCTTTCATCAAACATACTTGGGTATCTAAAGGTTTACCACCTGCGATTTCACCAATCAACTAATCAAATCATATTGAAATGATACTCCACTAGTTTTCAGGGGGGCCACTGCCGTGGAGCAAAACATTCTTGGGGGTTTGGGGGTTTGAAGAGCCATCCAAGTTCGATCAATATCGATCATTTAGACCCCATTATCTCTCTTATCTGAAGCACATGGAGACAAACCTCACCACTGGAAGGCAAGAAAGCATCTTTGGTTATGTGATTGCAAGCATACCTGGGTTAGGAATACTCACTGTCACATGTTTTCTCTGGTGGCGGACCATGATGATGATGATAATGAGAATCGTCATCACATTTTCAGAATTCAGGCTCGAGTCAGGTTAATACAACAAAAACCTCGATCTCCAACTCAAAAATATTGGCTTTCTACTGTATCGCCAAGGGAAGAATGCTCGACATTCCAGTTGTCCATTTATCGATGTATAGGAGTGAGTTCCGTTGTATATATAAGAGATATCAAACAGAAATTTCTGCCTCCTGATTATTTGCATTAAAGGGTTACGTGCGGAAACCCGAGTAAGTAATACTGTAGGTATTTTAAGAAACTCTCCAGATACATTTTTATGGACCCCAATTTCACATCCATATTCTGTAAATGTGTAGGTACCGGTATATGTGTCCACGATGAGGTGAATATACACTCGTATGTACTCGAGTATATATAAATAAAATGAAAAATGCGTGAGAATGTGATGTTTCTGTTCCATTTTGCCGACTCTGGTTGTACGGGTACGGGTGATATTTTGGCCAAAACGCCAAAAAAGGTTCAGGCCGGTGGACAACCGCCAAACCGCACGAACCGACAAAGATCTCCACCAAATCCACTTTCACTTCAAACCAGCACGCGCCTGAGATGTGATAAATCTTCACCAAGCTCAATAACTCCATCACTCATCACTCACCACTCACCACACACTGCAAAAAAGATAACTCTCCTCCCCCCCCCCTCTTGTACATTCTCTCTCCTCTCTATATCTGCAGTAGTATAATTGTCTCCGTTCATCAATTCCATATTGTCTCACCTCTTCAGTACTTCTTCTTCTTCTTCTTTCTTACACGTTTCCTCCGGATTCACATTCTGCAGGTTGTCTATCATCCGTGTTGATTCGATACCCCCAAATACCCCCACCACAACCACGATAACCTTTTCGCACGACAAGGAATCCGGCTATGATATTGTTGGCATCATAGAATAAAAGGGGTTATTTAAAAACATTACAATATCTTCGCGCGTTGTGAACCTTGTGTCAAGAACGCGTGCGGCCTAAAAGAGAGGGGCAGGCTAGGACTCTTGCTCGAAGTCTCGAAGTTACCCACGTCTACGAGTCAAACACAGTCAAACTTTTACAAAATGGATCCTCCTCATAGATCTCAGAGTAAACATCGAACCCCTTCGCAAAGTGCTCAAATGCCCGGGCCTCAGAAGTTTATACCAGACACCTCTCCGAGTCCGTTCACTTCGAATTCGAAGTTGTTGCAGCGTAGTGTCGAGACTCGACACCCAACTCAGACTGTTTCTCTAGGATGGCAAGATGGAGAAGATACCGTTGGTCATACGTCGAGATTACAAGTTGAGCTTGCAGATATTATAGAAACGAAAACCGTTACCACAACCACCACGACCAAGCGATCATACCCTCCACTACTTTTTCAAAGCCCTCGACCACTTCATAGCCTCGATGCAAAGGAATATCCTTTAGCACTTAAGCCAACTCCTCCCGAACTTACTAAGATTTTCTACGAAATCGATGGACAACAAATGGAATACGAGGAATTTGACTTCCAAAACATCATGCACGAGGTTCGATAACTTGCATTATTTCCTGTACTTTTCTTTGGACTTTGCGGTACTAATTGCTCAAATTTTCTAGGATCTTGAAACCCAACCTCTCCGTAACCATTATCCACGCCGTCAATCGAGGGAAGATCGCGAGCAGTTCAGAGATGGATTGGAGAGAACAGGCCGAATGGCGAGATCAGTTGCAGAACCTAGCAACTTGAGAAAGCCTATGAAATCGAAAGGAATACCCGATTATCGGCCCGCCAGCACTAGTTCGAGGCCCAGCAGTTCACAGGCACTAGAAGCTTTCAAGAATGACGCCAAAGATGCAGGTTCGCGACGTCGAAACCTCGGTCTTGTTATGCACCTATCCAATTTACCAGCAACGCCCGATATGTCAGAAGTAGAGTTGTCTTCAAGAGATGTCGCTCCACCATTAGCTCCTCGATTTCAAACTAATGCACACGCACCCCAATCCGGTCTAAGTCAAAACGACTCATTTGAGAATCTGGCAAGTCAGTTGGAAATCGCCAACGAAGAACCGTTCAACGGCGCAGTTGCCACACCCCCAATTGCAGAATCCGACCTTGAGTCGTCTGGTCTTGAGGTGAGTTTTGAACAAGCACAGCGCCCGCAATTAAACACTGTAGCTGCTCAAAACGCGAGCCTCCCTAGTCCTGGTCTTTCACCTACCGTTGCCTCTCCAGCATTTGATGATGACGATATCGAGCTTACCAGCGATACCCAGGAGACATTAGACGAGGATTCTCTTCAGGTAGCTGAGACGAACACAGCTCGAGATCGCCGTATCGGATCTACAGGATTACACTCGCAGATGTCTACTCTTATGGATATTGGTCCTATGCTAGATACTTTCAATGCTATGCCCGATGAGATGAAAACTCTCGTCATGTACCAGCTGAGCCGAAGGTGCTCTAGGAAGACTCTTCGGGCTGTCACCGGTTTTGTCAATCCTGCTTTGATGTGCGATTTTCTCGATGAGCTTCCCACTGAACTAAGCCTGCATATCCTAAGTTACCTGTACCACAAAGACCTGTGCCGTGCAGCACAAGTTTCGAAGCGTTGGAGAAACGTTATTGACTCCAATGAAACAGGATGGAAAGAACTTTTTGATCGCGATGGTTTCGTGCTCCAACCTGAAGAGCTCGAGCGAGCAATACGCCAAGGATGGGCATGGCAGGATCCCTACGGGCCGGATGGCTATGAAATGGATCTGAGCGTTAAAGACAGCTGTAAATCAGTCAATGGTGAAGTCGGTATGCCTGGTAGCAGCAGCAAGATTGATGCAACTAGAAGATCTCGGGCGGCCACTAAGAGAAAGCGGCCCACTGGATGCTCGGGATCGGAACGTGCAAAGCGGAGAGCAACAGGTAATGACTTTTCGGCCAGAACACTAGAACTCGTGTCCAAATACCACAAGTCTGAAGGCCCACTAAGCGCTGCTTCCGCTGCTGCATTGGCTGTACCAGATCCCCAATTTGGTCTTCCAGAATTACGGAAGCTTCATCTCTTCAAATCTTTGTATCGTCGACACTATTTTCTTCGTCATAGCTGGACAAATCGTGCCGTTGAACCTCATCATATGGCTTTTAAAGCTCACCCATCTCATGTAATTACTTGTCTTCAATTTGATGATGAGAAAATCTTGACAGGTAGTGATGATACATGTATTCATGTCTACGACACGAAAACTGGAGCTCTACGCAAAAAGCTCGAGGGACATGATGGGGGTGTTTGGGCTTTACAATACGAAGGAAATGTTCTTGTTTCTGGTTCTACTGACCGTTCCGTACGCGTTTGGGACATCGAAAAAGGCCTTTGCACTCAAGTATTTCATGGACATACGTCAACTGTACGATGCTTGCAGATTCTCATGCCGTCAGAGGCGGGCAAGACAGCCAGTGGCCAGTCTATCATGGTTCCGGAGCAGCCCCTTATAATAACCGGTTCTCGTGACTCTCAATTACGCGTATGGAAGCTACCCGCTCCAGGAGACAAGCGATACATTCAAACAGGACCGCCAACTAATGATGCTGATTGCCCTTACTTCATGCGCGTATTAGCTGGACATACACATTCTGTTCGTGCCATCGCAGCCCATCAAGATACGTTAGTAAGTGGTAGCTACGATTGTACTGTGAGAGTATGGAAAATATCAACGGGTGAAGTCATGCATCGTCTACAAGGACATACCGCGAAGGTATACAGCGTTGTTTTAGATCACAAACGCAATCGATGTATTAGCGGTTCTATGGATACATACGTCAAAGTTTGGTCCCTCGAGACTGGTTCATGTTTATTCACTCTTGAAGGCCATACGTCCCTTGTTGGCCTCCTGGACTTACGTGAGGAACGTCTTGTCTCAGCAGCTGCGGATTCAACGCTGCGTATTTGGGACCCGGAGAGTGGCGTTTGCAAGAGTACATTGAGTGCCCATACAGGTGCGATCACCTGCTTTCAACATGATGGGCAAAAGGTCATCTCTGGATCAGATCGCACTCTAAAGATGTGGGATGTCAAAACCGGTGAATGCATCAAGGATCTTTTGGGCGACTTGAGTGGTGTCTGGCAAGTCAAGTTCGACGAACGAAGATGTGTTGCGGCCGTCCAGCGTGATAATTTCACTTTTGTCGAGGTCGGTCATTTGCTCCTTTTGAATTAAAGTACATTTTGAGCTAACAATTACTTCAGGTCCTTGATTTCGGCGCATCCCGTGACGGTGTCCCTAAATCAGAACGTGGTCATCGTATCCTATTGCGAGGAATCGGCGAAACTGTCGAAGTTGGTGACTTTGCGAATCCATAAATGAATATACGAAATCAAACGTCTAATGAAAATCACTCACGAGAATGTATGCAACAGAATTACCGGTATTCATAGAAATCATACGCCTCGGGAGAATCGGGGATTGGGATGGGGATTGGGATTGGGTCAATGGATGGGGGGTATACCCTGGTTATTCAGCTGTTATCTTCGCTTTATATTTCATTGTCGTATACGTCTTTGAGCTTTCAAGTCCTCGATCGGATGGACTCATGGGGCGTTTGGGGAGGGTGGGGGTGAATCATTTGGAGTATCTTATTTCTAAGCATAGCGAGGATTTTTTTGGTTCTCTCTTTCGTTTCCTTTCTTTTCTCGGACATCCCTCAAGCTTTTACGTTATTTCTTTTATTTCTCATGAACAGTCCACAGTACAAGCGGTTATAGTGTAGGGTATGTCTATAGGCATAACACATGTCGGCTTGGTTGGCCTGGTTTGCTGACGAGGTGTTGGTCTGTTAGGCCTTTAATAGATAGGAAGGCAAGGAAGGGAAAAGAATTGAAAGGAAGGGAATGCTGCGATCAAATGAATGAATGGCTGGAGTGAGGAGAGGGGAAGGGAAGGAAAGTGGGTTGGAGTATACGAGTATCGTCTATATCGATTCCTGAAGATGGTTCTGCTTGTTAATTAAAGATATGAAGGAAAGAAGGAGCAACTACTGAATGAATGCACTTGGCTTGGTAGATAGGTCGGGGCTAGTAGCTAAAATAGGGAGAGGAAGATTCTGCGATGGTGAGAGAGGGAGAAAAGGGAAAGGAAAAAAGTATCATACTCATCATTTAGTACCAAACGCTGTCTTGCTAGGGGATGATTGCTGAGGAAGGGGAAAAGTACAGTAGATGTCATCGATTAATTGATGGATGGATGAATGATGAATGATGAATGATGAATGATTGAATGAACAATGATTATGATGATGATGATGATGATTGCATTACTCGAGTATGGTGATTATACATTGTATTGGGTTGAATTAGGTTGGATTGAATCAGGTTGTATCTACTCTATGTACTGAGTAGATTATGCTCTAGTGAGACGACATGAGATGAGATGAGATGAGATGAGAGGGGAGGAATGGGAGGAATGGGAAGAAGTAGAGGAAGGAAAGGGAGAATGGAAAAGAGAAGAAAAGAGAAGGGAATGAGAAAAGTACTACTCAGTACTCGAGTATAGGGGGCGAGAAAAATCAAGCGAGATGGATTGAGACAGAGTGAATGAAATGGAGTGAAGTAAAAACAGGAGGAGATGGGAGGGGAGGGAGACAGACAGATGTATTGTGGAAAATTGTGTGTGTGTGTGTGTGTGTGTACATCCTACGGTATGCGGAGAATGATCACTTGGAGTTATAGGATACTCGAGTATATAGATATACGAATACTATCGGACAGTATTCGAATCAAGTCACATCAAATCACATCACATCATATCAAGAATGCCAATATTAGTATATAGTATGCATGCTGTGTATGATACTATGAACCATACCAAGTTCATAAATTAGGTATACAAATCCCCCAACGCCTATTTATGCTATTCATGCCATGCCGAAAATCATTTTGCATGCACGACCGCTTTTTCTCAAGAGAATATTAAAAAGTGCTAGGGGGTATAATAATATTTCTCCTCTTTCTCCCCTTCTATCTTCCTATACTCGAGTTTTGTATATATATAATGTCTCCTGCTTCGTGTTGATTTTCTGTCGAGTTTTCTTCTTTATTATTGGTTTAGGTATGGTACCACGTGCCTACCCTCAAAAGAATCAAATATTGAGGTTATGTTGAGATTGTTCGTGGCGTTGCAATCGTGATTACATCTATATGTCCTCTAGGTTTATGCGAGCCGGTTCATCAGCTCTGCCGGTAGGAGCTTTTCCAGCAGTTGTAGGTGAAGTCGATCCACCAGACATATCGCCCATTTCATGGCTATTAGGGTCAGCATCAAGGTCAACGACCGGAGGATGTACGGTGACAGCAGGTTGGTGGTTGGCAGCGAAAACACCGTTGGTTTGGTTATGGTTGATAGATCTCCACATGATATATGAACTGCAAATGAGCAGTTAGTTGGTAGTTTCGGAAAAGATGGATCAAGAAAAACAAACCTGGCGATTGTGCCTACCACACCGATCCACAAAAGTACAGTGGATGCAATGCAGTATGCATTTTTGCGGTATATGGGGTTTGGTGGACCATTTGAATCAAAATATCTTTGGGCTTCTGAGTTTGTCAATCCATCGATGGTTGCACGCTGAGTGGCTACAATGACCTATAACGGAATGATTAGTAACTAAGAAAGTTGAGATGATGCAATGATAGACTAACTGTAAGAGCGATAGCATCTGCCAAAGTTAAGAAGCACATCAAAAGCGAACACATCTTCCATGCCTTCCGCACCGCGAGGCTTTCCACACGTTCGGGCCAGAAAAGATCGAAGAAGAATCCGGAACCAAAAATTGTAGCAACTGCTATACCAACAAAAATGTTGAATGAGAAAATTCCAATGATATCTCTCACCGAAGTGTGTAGACCATAGCGGGTTTGTATGCCGTCTCGTTGATCAAGATAATCTTAGACAGAATAACTGTTAGTCCTTTGCTTCGAGGATTGATGTTGAGATTTTGATAAGGTAATTCTTACCACTTAGAGCAGCAGTCCCTACAGATTCGGAACAAACACACGTTATCATGGCGATTTGATAGACAATCATCTTTGTTCTGCGGAGATGGTAGACTTGGTTGAACATGTATCCTCCCTTGAACTTTCCCCATTGCATATCCGCGAGTTTCAAACCCCATATTACTGGAGCCATTGTGGACGATTGAAATTGGACTTCTTTATTTCGTAGTTAAGGAAGTGGATGATAGTAATTGTAGTTTGAGAGCGAGCTGTTCTTTGCCTTGAAAGGTACTCGAGTATGTTATGTATCCCTCGGAAAGATAACGGATTATCGATGAAAGATGAAGAAACAAAGAATTATTCTGTTGAGTAATAGATATGATAGAATATCTAATAGAAAGCAAGAAGTCAAACGATTTAAAACTTTTGTGTTGAGTATAAAAGATAAAAGAGAAACGAAAGAAAGCTTGATGATGAAGAAACTTGTCGACAAACACGCTTGGTGTTCTTGTAGGAAGGTACGACACTCTTCTTGTTTGGCTTGATTCGGGAGTTGACTACGTCATTTTGAGACAGCAGCAAGGAGACACGATCACATAACCGGTAGAGCAATGAGTGGTAATAAGCAGACTAAGCTGCTGCTGCTGCAGTAGAGATGCCAAGACATGAATAAAGTGAGAGTTCAGCAACATCGGATAAAAGAATAGTACAGTACAAGCTTCGTTGAGGCTTGAGGCTTGGAGCGTGTTGGTCCTGCTTTCCTGCTTTCAGCTCTGTGTGATTGAAGGACCGGTATGAAGGGAAGAATGAAAACATTAGTAAGTAACTCGAGTATTAGTAAACCTACTCGTTACCTATCGACATTCATCAAAACCCTTTGTTAGGGAGGAATGTTTCATCTCGACAACCGGAACGCTCGATCCATTGGACCCAAGCTACTGCATATCTATAAAGCCTAAAACTTGATAATTATCCTTCTTATTGTGCCTTCCCTCATCCCGCTTCTGTCCGTAGCACGAGTGGCTGGAAATTGGCAAGGGCTGGAACTTGGATACGACGTTCGCAGCCACATTAACATACAAACCGGGGATTTGAGACACTTTGAAGAAGGTCGGCGCTTGGTCCACCGATATAGCTTTATCGCTTGCGAAAAGGGGAACATTATACCCCCCATAAACTACTTTATAGGAATGAGGTACGCGCCTTCCTGTTGGTATGTGGGACAGTAAAGGATTACCAGTAGATTATATATATATAAGAGCACAAATCGTCCCTTTGAACTGAGGATGGGCATTATGACAAAGCCGACAACTGTGAATGTCCATCCATCTCAAATTTTCTTGAAATGGTTGTTGGTTGAAAGCTTGTGTCTGAAATTCATGATAGTTGTATTCTTCCGAAGCTAAAATAAAGAAGGTTTCCATATAAGCACTAGTTATAAGCGCTGGCTCTGGTAGCGTAGCCGTTCGGACTGAGGAAACTTGCGCCAAGATCCGCTCCGCTTGCAATAATGGAAGGGTCGGGAGATACCTATGATGGCAACTTTCTCATGGCGCTGTAGTCTTGTACATCAGATTGATTGTGAGTCAATAAAATCAAGCTGATACGATGTCTAGAGCCTTTTGAATCTCTCAATTAGTATATCCAGAGATTAGGCTAGGTACAGTAGCTAGCTTCTTCTCTTAAGGCTTAACCTACTTGTGCACCGACTTTGTTAGGGCTGATAAATGTTCATTCATCGGTTTATATGGTCGTTTGGGTCGATGTGAAAGTCTGTTTATGCTCCCAATAAGTACCCAGTAGCGATCAATCATATCGATATCATCCCAAGGTCTTCAATTCTCACTATGAAGCAATACAAAGTTATAGCTGCCTCAGGTTTTCTTCTACTCGAGTATTAGGTAGGTTAATCACAAACTTAATAATTTTCACGCTACACCATATTTGAACTCAGCCCCACCATCCTTGAATTTCTTCTTTAAAAGCTTCCAACTCATTCTTTTGATTTCTTCAATAACCTCTAATTTCTTATTTGGGGTCTCTTCTACTTCTATTTCTCCTTAAATACCTTCTTCCTTCAATAATAATCACATCAACTTTGCAGGTTCAATTGTGCTACTTTCTTAATAATTATTCAGATTCAATTCATTCTTTTTCAAAAAGGTATGTGCAAAAACTGTTCATCTGAGATCTCTTTCCCAAAATCCCCCTTCCCTCTCTTTTTTTTATGATGAGACACAAGCTGGCACCAGTCCGAGTCGATTTGTACTCATATCTTTGACGACAATGCTATGGCCTTCGGGCCTCCTTCTGAACAAAAATACTTTCTTCTTTTCAATCTTGAAAAAATCGTATCATTCATTTTCACATTGCTGACATTCAGTTTGGCAGTTTATAAAAAAGTCTTCATCAAACTTCGCCCAATATGGTTCTCCACAACCCAAACAACTGGCATTGGGTTAACAAAGATGCTTCAACATGGGCAAAACAATGGTTGGAGGATAGCATAAATGAGGTCAAGGCCGAGGAGGATGACGTTACAGCTCAATTGGATAAATTGATTAGTATGGATGGAGATGTTGATGTCAATCAGCGAAAGGGAAAGGTCATTACCATATTTGATGTCAAGCTCGTTATTGAGTATTCAGGTATGCCCTGTAGTAATAGTCAATATCATTATTTTATATCTAATTGGACTAGGCAAAACCAAAGATGAGGAATCCGTTAGCGGTACCATCACCATTCCTGAAGTTGCTCATGATACCGCAGAAAACGAGTATGTTGTATGTTTAGTCGTGCCCAATGGACACTCAGATGAATTGTCTAATGTGATTTCAGTTTGACATAGATATTTACTCCGATGCCAACTCTAAAGCCCCAGTCAAAGACCTCGTTCGTGCACAAATCGTCCCTCAACTCCGCAAACAATTTGCACAACTTGGACCTGCTCTCATCACAGAGCACGGAAAAGATATCCAACATGCGCCAGATGCGAACCCAGCATCCAAGATCACATCCGCAAAGACCTACCCTCACAATGCTCCAGTTCAATCTACATGCACCCCAACCAACAAGGCCCCTTCTTTAGTAAATACCACCACTGTCACCGACAATGAAGAATTCCGTACTCCAGCTTCAGAGCTTTACCAAACCTTTACCGATCCCGCCCGCATCGCCGCATTCACACGCGCCGCGCCAAAACTCTTCGAGGGTGCTAAGAAGGGAGGGAAATTCGAGCTTTTCGGGGGCAACGTCTCGGGTGAATTCCTCGAACTCGTCGAACCAACCAAGATCGTTCAAAGCTGGCGTCTCGATCAATGGCCACAAGGACATTATTCCAGATTGGAGATCAACTTTGATCAAAACGATGTTGATAATGTCACGGTCATGAGAGTTTCTTGGTCTGGTGTCCCGGTTGGTCAGGAAGAGGTCACGAAGAGAAACTGGAGCGAATATTATGTTAGAAGCATCAAGCAGACTTTTGGGTGAGTTTTCGAATCTGGAGTAGGGAGATTGAGGCGGGATGCTAATATGATGATATAGCTTCGGCACGATTTTGTAGATGGATCATGGAACGATGGATAGAATGAGGGGAGGGGAGGGGAAGGGAGGGAAACGACTGAATAGAGGCAAACGCAGTGCAAGACAGTCTTGATGTTTATGGAATGCGAATGAATACATAGATGAATGCAGAAATGGTTTTATGATTGATGGACGGATGGATGGGACTTCTTTTCTTTTTCTTTTTGAGCATTATAGATGAATTGATATTGGCGTTGTATCTTCATTTCCATCTTTAATGCATCTCGTGTTTCTGTGATTATTTATTCTGCTGCGCGTTATATAATATGGTATGGTATGGTATGGAGGATTGGAGGATGAGTGTATAAAATATATATGGTATAAGCTTATGTAAATCGTTTGAATATAAAATAATTTGGGAGAGGGGGGATGTTGAATGGAACTACATGTATATGGAGGGGGGCTATTGGATTGTGGGTTGTGGGTTGGTTGGTGTAAGATGTGTGTATATTATTATGTTGTTATGTTGTTATGTTGTC